CTCCCCTCCCAGAGGATATCACGGCTCGACAGTTGGCGAACAAAAGTCGTTCGAAATAGATTATTCATTAGCAGTGGCTATTGAAAGACGCAAAGCTATAAAAATGGACGACATTGAGGGAGACGCGTCCCTCGTTCTCTGGGTAGCGGTAACGAGGCTCATGTCTATTTCAAAATGTTCGAAGGACGATGACCCCTGTCGTTGGCAAGCCGGCCATCTGGGTCAGTTGTTCCCGAAGCAGTAGGCCGCGTATAAAGATATCATAGATTGCAAGGGTTCCATCATGTTGAAGCAGGAAATATTTAAAATATACGATCCCTCACACCAACAGCCACCATGTTTCCTGCACCATGGGCAAGAAACATGGGAACATAACATGGGAAACAGGAAACTTGCGAGAACTAATGCCGCATAGTACAACAGCCAACAGTATCCAGGTTGATCCAGGCCACTCGCCGTCACCTCCCCTCACCCCAACCCTAACCGCCTCGTGCCGTGGCCGTCTTCCCTACCCCGTCTGGCAATGGACCCACTGCAGGGCCTGTGACAGACCGATGGGACGCCGTCAGCCTATTTATCAGACGGCAGAGCGAAAACAGAGCGCGATCAGACGGCCATTGTGGCCGCACAAAGCCGACGGCGGGCCGAGAGAGGAGGAGAGATGTGTGGTGTGCTGCTGTCGGCCAGTCAGTCAGTTCTCCACAGAGAGCTAACGATCTGAGATATTTGGATGCACAGGGATGTGTAGACATGGTTCGGCCTTGATTGCCTGGGGCTGTATGAGCCGCATGGGTTATTTGGAAGACAAATGATGCACAGTTAAAAGCAGAGGCATTCGGAATTCAGCCACTGAAATCATTTCGTCTGTCTGGCATGCACCCAAACGTCCAACTCTTGCATAATAAACGCCGCCTCAAGGCCAGCTCTCCCAAAGCCTGAACCAGCCACAGTGACGGGGCATTTATTTTATGTAGGGATGTTTGCATTGCAAACGTCAAACATATGACCGCATTGAGAACATAAATTGTAAAATTAGGCTCCAAAAATATAATATCCGCAGCATTCATAATGCTACACATTTTTATTTATGAATAAACTAAACTTTCTTATGGTGCTGTTTTATTTCTATTTAGCGTTTTAGCGTCTGGTTTCGCCTTTGATGTGACGCTAAGCACAGCTCCCATCGTCCATTTATGTGACAGGCCACGTGACATGTGACAGGCAGTGTGACAGACGTCGCGTGACTCAGCCCGGGTCGGCCGTGTCTGGCGCCGCTCCCACTAAAGACGGTGTGATCCGCGCAGCGAGTCAGACCGATATGTCTCACCTCGTTCTGTCGTGCGCGGCGGGCAGCCGGGCTGTCGGCGGCGGCGGCGGTGGCGGGGGCGGGGGCGGGGGCGGGCACCAGCGGCGGCGGCAGCGCCGGGGCCGTCAGGTCGCCCTCGGACGGGTACGGGTGGGTGGGACAGGTGGCGAACGTGTCGCTGCTGGCCAGACTGAGCAGGTCCGGCTGGCTGCCGGGCCGCGAGTCAGCCTGCTGGCCGGCTGGCAGCGGCTGCAGCTCCAGGTCGGCGGCAGGGCGCGCCGGCGGTTCGGACGGACGCGCCGGCGCCGCGGCAGTCCTCGAAGGGTCCTGCGGCCACGGACGGGACACGCGGTGACGACTCGGTAACGGTGACGGAGGTCACAGCATATGAGTCAGTAATGTTCAGGACATACTCATGTCTGATGTAAGCGTGAGAACATACATGCGTAGCATTAACTATTGCTACACATTGATTTACATAAACATGCAGCACGACCGAGCCAGCGATTTTACGAGCATATTCGTCTACACATGAAACGTGCGTGGGACATGTAGTAAAGGGATTTACATATGTCAAAATATCACAGCATGGTATGATATCATAGCATATGATAAGAGCAAAACATCATAGCATGGTACGTTCTTCTCTAAATGATGGGTAAAGCCATTAAAAATATGCATGATAAGAGAAAACATAAACAGCATAGTAGCCATGTCACTAGCGGATGGCAGTCACATAAAAATAAGAATGACAAGGAACATTTGTCGATAAAATGCATGGTAGAAAGCAGGGTTTCGGAGTCGGAGTCGGAGTCGGAGTCGGAGTCGCCCGGAGTCGTGGCAAGCAGCTAGGAGTCGGAGTCGGAGTCGGAGTCGGTCAAGCTGCCTCGACTCCGACTCCGGAAAATAACTAGAATCTGTGACATCACTTTTCAGTTTTTTTATCAGCTGCCCGCGGTAGAATTCGCTTCCGGCGATAAAAATTGCACTCATCTTGTTTTTGTTCTAAATGACAAACATTGGATCTTACAAGTTTCAAGTTACATCATAATTTAGTAGCCAAGTATTTTGCATGCCTGTTATAACTTCCACTATCTGAAGTATTTGATGAGTCAAAGACTAAATGTATTTTTATTTTATTCGTTTATGCTCCGAAAAGTATCAACACATAGGAATGACCGACATGATGGCGATGCTCGTGTTCGTGATACGGCCGCCTCTCGTGCTTCTCGGCGGGTTTCCACGCTGACCGCTGACCTCTTGTGGATTCAGCTGCGTCCAGGTGGGAGAAATGGTGACTGCATGAAGGAAACCGGAGAGTAGGAGCGTTCTCCCCGTGCACGTAGACCTAGCACGTGGCGTCATATCACGCAAAATTTTGGCGGCCGCCATTGCCATTCGTATCAGACCCGGAGTCGGAGTCGGAGTCGGAGTCAGAGTCGGAGTCGGTCAGGAGCCCGGAGTCGGAGTCGGAGTCGGAGTCGGAACAGCGCTACCACGACTCCGAAACCCTGGTAGAAAGAACAAATACTCCAATGATTTAGCTCTAGGTAACCAAGCATGAGTCAATTCTATGGATATTATGCAGTGACGTTTTTTTCGACGAGTGTGGCGAGTGAGCTTGAACTTAAGTGGGCACTGGGAACCATGTGTTACATGACGCTACTGCAGTTTTGTGCATTACTGTTGTGATGATAATGGACTCTTGAGTCCTGACCTTGACATTTTGGCTCTACCGAATGGCCTATCGTTGTTAATTGATAATAACTTTTTATCCATGTTCAATTCGGAAGAAGGTTCACCTTTTATCCAATTCATTGCATTATCTGTGAAATATTTGTGTGACCTTTTCCTGGTGTGATAGGCGCATGGAGGTGTTTTTCAGTTTCTTCATACTTTCTTATATTTCTCGCGAACTACATACCTATTTTCACCACATCATTTCCCTTCCACTTCCCCGAACCGGCTAACCCTAACAGGACCTCGTATTTTCCAACGTCCGAGGAATTCCCCGACCCCGACCCCGGGACCGTGTTTTCAATTTTCAGCAGCTCCGCCAGTACGATCGACCGTGTCCGGGCTGTAGCGACCCAAGCACCGCATCAGCGCCGGAAACGGGCGTCCGGCTCAGCCGTAAAGACGGTCACGCGCCGGATTCAGGCTCTAATTGGAACCTTCTCCTCTCCGTGCAACAATGCCACCGATCTCACTAAAAGCCGGGAGATTGAATCAGCACGGCAGTGAGATTCCGTATGATCTGCTTCGTGTGTTTCGATTTTGTGACTAAAGTGAGAATCATTTTTCCATGAGTTTTTGCACCGAAACATGTATGTTGTGTGTTTCAATAATGATGCGTTGTGTTATGTTGTTTTGCTTCAATAATTTGCAAATTCTTCTTAATTTGTTTAGTGCTTGCTGAATGTATGTAAGGCATTTAAATTGTTTAATATTTTTGAATGACCTCCTTACAAAAGTATTCTTTTCATTCATGTATTTTTTGTTTTAGATGAATTTTCGGCCACGGGCCATGATCACATCAATGCCAAAATATTAGAATATTCGAAGACAAAAAATATCGAACAAATAATAATCTAAAACAAAAAATACATGAATGAAAAGTATACTTTTGTAAGGAGGTCATTCAAAAATATTAAACAATTCGTAAATTCCTTTTGGTTTAAATGTTCTGCTTTGGCTACGATCATAGTGTTATCTAAACTTTCATAGAAATAGGATCGCTTTAAAGTTATCCGATAAGTGATAGCTAGCTCAGATTTTTGGTCCAGCTGCATACCCTTTCTAGCTACGACAACGGTCCATGCACTCAAAGGTTACACCCCGAATTGATAGCTTTCAGTTCAAAGTCGGATGAGCACGGTAAAAGGTGGGGTTTCTAGACCTCTATTGCTCTTCTTCCATGTTCGGGTTGGTATAAAGCGACTATAATAGTTAGGTAAAGCCCAGCAGCAAGTAAGGCTGAAACATCCAATGTATAGAAAAAATAAGGGAATTAATTATCAAAATTATAGTGCATTTTTTATGGAATCTCTAATCTAAAGCTATCATATTTGATCGCATTTTTATCTCGGACCTGTTTTTAATAAGCGTTATTATTTTGGTATTTTCTTTTATTTTCAACATTGTACCTAAAGATCCATTATTTCTATTAACTAGTGACATATTAGATATGTCATTTTACAGATACATATCAAAATTGCTCACATATTTAACACATGGGTTGGCAACCGGTGATCAATAGCATGGTTTGGAAGCCTGTTATCAACAATAGTTGTCAGAATGACTTAAATCTGCAGCCGGTTTTATAGACCTTCAATTCAGCAGCTAGCTTCCGTTAATGCCCAGTGTCCACAGAGCATGTCTTGCCAATGTTCGGTCGCCGTTCAAACGGCCGGTGTGAAGCAGGCAAAATGCATCTGGGCCAGAGCAGTCTTAGGATTTAAAAGACACTTGGGACTGACTGACGACTGGCATCCAATGACCGATGGGTTAGGCACAGTCTGCATACTGGATTAAATAGGTACTGGATGACGACGGCTGGCCCGCTACTGACTACTGGATAACAACTGTCTGCTGCTGACTACTGGATTCGGGCAGCCTCCAGCTGCTGGCTGGTGGCTACTGCCTGCCTACTGGCGCGGAGGTCGCTGCGCCCGCGGCGCCGGAGGTGGAGCTTACCTGAGCAGTGGATGAGCTAAGAGAATTATTGAGCGTTACTGAGAGGTCTCGGTCTGCGTGAGCGGCAGCGGCGCGAGGCGCGCGCCGTTTTCGGTCGGCTCCCGGCCGGTCAGCGCCTGTAGGCAGGAAAGAGGCCGTCCGGTCGGCGGCGCGGCGCCCGCCAGCTGCCGGCCGCCGCCCGACGCATGCGAGCTGCACCGATCAGCCTCAGACACAGCTCTGCTAGAAGCTCACAGCTATGTACGGCATGAGGCAACGCACTGTCAAACGGGCCGCCGGCTTCCTGCGCGTCTCTGCCACGTGAAAGGTGAAGAAGAAATACGCCACGATCAGTTTGAAAAATTAGCAAGTGCTGACACCACTGAGGCAGAAAAGCATGGCCATTTACTCACAGCACGATATTCAAATGGATCACAAGACGATAGCGAGAAAAGATTGTGCAAGCTACCTGAACCTATCATTCAGTCTTTCTAAATTGTTGTGTGAGTACTGATTAGGTGTAACGGTGAAGTAGCTGAAGCCTGTGATTCTAAATAAAAACATCACATGATGATTTGTCAGTTATTGCAATGAGCGTGTCGTGCGTTCCGATTCTTACGAAGAAAAGACGACAGCCGCTAAGCGATATTTGAGATGTGCCCAGTGATCGACAAATAGTGTCAAGGTCAGGTCAACAAGCGTCTCGAACACAAACACTTGATACGAGAAATGAGATAAATTCGTGTTATATTTTGGTCATCTTAGCGTTCTAAAGGATTGTTTCATTATTGACATTAAAAGAACGAATACATTGAAAATCCTTAGTTATGGCAAAACTGGCAACAGTGACCTACCAAGATTATGTTTTGATGGTGATAATAATAAGCTTTTCTGCATCTGGTGCGAATTGCTTTGTAAACTTCTTTTCGCGTGAACGATTTTGTCATTGCCAGGAGTTAAGCATGGTCCCAAATATTTTCCTCACAGAGTAGTGAAATGTATCGATTCTTAACGAATCAAATACTTCTTAAACTAAAATTGGGTAATGCTTAACAATTGCCAGTAAAACATAACCACTAACAGTTGTCTTTCCGTGAACGAGTAATCAAAATGTGCTAAAATGCCTTCCTAAAAGTAACAATACGGCAATCACTCCAAAGCACATGTGTGCGTATTACGAGTAGGTATATTGTTCATTCTCGTTTGCAGCATAACGCAAAATGTGTGCTATGTGCATTGCAAAGGCAGCATCCAATGCGTTCATTGCTGGTGAGCCCCAGTCAGTGGCAGCTGTGCCGTATAAGCAGCATCTTTTGTTTCACGCTCTGCAGACCCAAGGTCTGTGGAAGGCCAGTCGGTGATAGAATAGCGTGCGATGTGTCCTGTAGGTGGATTTAGGTATCCTTATCACTAATTCACGTTTAACAATCAGCTGAGTAAAGCAAAACAAGTGCCCAACCAGGCACAATAGAAGAATGCGCCAGCTTTGCAGTGTGCGAACAAACGTGAAGAGTGCAAATTTGGGTAACTCATTTTTTAATTCCCACTCTGATGCAACTTTGGTCATACGATGGCAATATAAAAGTAGATCACAAATGTCTGTGAGCTATGAAGACAAAGAGAAATCCACAGCTTAATATATGGTATCACTTTATCTTGACCCGCCAATTTATGTAGATCAGCACTCGGGCTTCATAGGGCCGGGCTTCGAGCCTCGGAAAATATCGTCCTGGCGAGATTGCGATTCGGTCCGCGCTGATATCGCACAGAAGGCCGTAAAACAGCGACTCTGGATTACGGGTCGGCTGGGCGGGCCATCAGCCGGGCCTGGGTCGCGTGTCCAGCCGAACAAGACGCATCGACCCGCCGGACCGACCGACAACATATCAGTCATTTTGGGCAGCGGCAAGATGGCCCTTCGACCGGCCCTTCAGCCATGCAAGGCGAGAATTCAATAAATGACTTTTTTAATTAGAACATGGACTAATGGAGTAGATTGTTGAGGTATTAATGGTGCAGACCAGTGTTATAATGAGCGCTTGGGCTTATTATACCCGGGCATATTTTTTCCATTTCTGTTTTAAAATATCATTTTGGGCAGGCATTCATTTCCGTTTTGTCCAAGGCTGGTTGTGATTGAACTTCTGTCTGACTATGACTGGATGTGTTCCATTAGGGTGTCCTATCAGTGACTCTATGTGCCTGTGTTTTCCGCGGTAGTGGATGTCTGTTTTCCCCGGCACTGTGCACTAGCTGTTTCCCGGGACCGTGTACTGCTCGTGTTTCCCCCGTGGCCGTGCGCTGCCCCATGCGGCACTCACGGCCGGGGAGATGGCGTTGAGCGCGTGCACGCCGTGCAGTCGCCGCTCAGGTGTGCCGTGCTCCTTCCGCGTGGTGCCGGGAGACGCGGCCGACATCTCGCCACCACCGACAGGCCTGTCGGCACACAATCAGCAGAGTCAGAAGCAAGATACAGCAGATGCCATCCCAGGGTAACGCTCAGTGTAGCTCCAACGTATCTACAAAACGTGCACCGAGCGCCGGCCGCTTGAGTCGAAATTGTTCTTTATCCGTATTGCAGCCGTACCGCTCAGCGGTGCAGTTGTGGAGTCTGGCGGTACAGTATAACTTCAGGCGTCAACTATTAGTGCCATCTATCGGCTGGGAGGATAACTAAGCAACATTCGTCTGTGGCGCAGTACGCTGAGCGTGAACAACTTGTTATCACTGAGTGGAAGCAGACGAACAATGTATAACGTTATCATCGCTATATCATAAGACAAACATAAGATTAACAAATATAAGAGACATGCGCTCAGCTCGTCATTTGCAGCCCTTTCATGTCGAACATGTTAGGGTAAGATATTTATGGCCTGAAGCAAGCGAAGAGAAAAGTTCGAGGTGGTAGGTACACTGCCCCGTTTTATGAGACACGATAGTTAATTTATAGTTCTGCAGGATACCCAAAGTTTCGGATACACGGTAGGGCTGGCTCTCTTAGCGTAAAACTTCGGGAATTTGTGATGTCGCAAAGTCGACTTCAAACTAAAGCGCTGTGCCGTTCAGGTAAGTCCATTTGAGAAGACCATTGTATTTCGAAAAAAAAATAGAACAACGCCATTGTCTATGTGAATAAATTCCCGACGGAACTAAGAATAGCCACTTAATGGATATATCAAATTAAGTGTGATTGTAAGTAAACAATATCAATGGCAGCTGCTTATAGTGACTTTCGAATAGACTTCATGTTACCATTCATTGCATCAGCAGACGATTTATAGAAGTAAACGAATTCGGAAATAATGCGCCGGAGACATTCCTTTATCTCATAATGGGACACTAGGCCATTAGTGGGCCCATAAGATGGCCAATGAGGTCATATAGTTTTTTCCGTTGGAGCTTAATGGTGCAGATCCACAGACAATCACTCTCATCTGGTCCAATTCTACTCGTATATAAACTGGGTCACAGGGTAAAGTATCATTGATTCAATGTTACGAGGCTGATGTTTGCTCTTACCATAGAGGTAGGTAAGTACATACATATACATAGACTGTTTCTAAGCATTTGAAGAATTCATTGTTTTCAGGTATTTGAACGTTGAGCTGAGCATTGTTAATAAGATTATTAGAAGGATGAATAACCTGTTGCTCATTTCTATCAGAAATAGAAAAAATAAACCAATATATATTCGGGCGTGGCCCTTCTTCAGTGGTACAAGATCACAATCATCTTGTGATCATCTTGTGATCTTGTACCACTGAAGAAGGGCCACGCCCGAATATATATTGGTTTATTTTTTCTATTTCTGATAGAAATGAGCAACAGGTTATTCATCCTTCTAAGAATTCATTGTTCTCAAAAGATCAGTACCTATATAAAACAAAACTATATATAAACGTCGCTACAAAAAAGAGAATCAACATAGTCAGACTACAAGAGGATCTCACATCTCGGATGATTTCAGAATTTTGGCGCGACTAACTTTTCCCGTATTTCGTATTCCAATGCGTTTTTAGAAATTGGCCGTCACCATCCATCGCAAGATTGAGTAATCCCAAATCATATTTACGGCTGGTTTCGCGCTAACAGTATCATCCAATCATGCCCACAAGACGCCGAGAGGCTGAGTTATTTGCCACAGGCGGTGCTTATCTGGACTCGATAGTGAGTCAATTTATAGATTGACTGTGGCATGTGCGGTACGTTCGTGAGCAGAGCTGACCGGAGCTGAGGTCAGCTCTCGGAAGAGCTAGCTACTAACCTCGTGTTGAGCTGGTTGGCGCTCAGCTGCGGCGAGCGCTTCTCGTCATTTTCGGCCACGTGGATGTTGGTGGCTCCCTCGTCTGGCAGTCGACCGTCTGAAGACAGTTGTACCGAGTCATCGCCAACGATGTGGTGGAACAAGTTCACAAAACACGTCAATTCAAAAACAGCATGATACGTTACATGTTTGATAGTTAGCTATGATAAGGAATATACGACAAAAAAAAAAAAAAAAACGAAACCAAGGTTACTATAATGCATCTTCTTACTATGTAGGTAATCTAATCGCACACAACTTTAACAGTTTCCCATCATTTGATTACCGGACGCCAGCTCCAGAACTGCACCTGGATCTAGCATGACGTCCACGATGCCGATGGGCTTGACGAAGGCGTCGCGCAGGTTGACGTCGCTGATACTGTTGTTGCTGCCCTCTCGGCGGGCCTTCTCGAGCGCCTCGCGCCGCTTCATGGCCTTCTCGCGCATCATCTGGCTCTTGTAGAACTCGGCGAAGTTGTTGACGATGATGGGGATGGGCAGGGCAATGACCAGCACCCCGCAGATGGCACACACGGCGCCGATCACCTTTCCCAGCGTGGTGATCGGATAGGCGTCCCCGTACCCCACCGTGGTCATAGTGATCAGGGCCCACCAGAACGTGTGCGGGATGCTACCGTAGTCCTCCGGGTTGTGGTCCTTCTCGGCAAAGTAGGCCAGGCTGGAGAATATGAGGACGGTGATGGCGAGGAACATGAGCAGCAGACCCAGCTCCTTGTAGGAGTTTCGGAGGGTGAAGCCCAGACTCTGAAGGCCAGTCGAGTGGCGCGCCAGCTTCAGGATGCGCAGGATTCGCATGATGCGGAATATGGCGATTACTCGCCGCACGTCGTCGAACTTTGACTCGGACGAGTCAGAGTCCAGGGGGAACAGGGACACGTAGAACGGCATGATCGCCAGCAGGTCGATGATATTCATGGCGCCCTTGAAAAACTGCCACTTATTTGGCGAGGCGGCGAACCGTAGGAGGTACTCTATGGTGAACCATGTGATACAAACGGTCTCCACTTGGAACAGGGCTTTATTGTCCTCCCCATCCTGCTGCAGGGAAGGCATTGTGTTGAGCACTAGGGATGTGGTTGAGACTACGATGAAAAGTACAGAGATAATGGCGAGAACCTGCAAGAAATAACGAAATTTCGTCAAAGAATTATGCAAATAATTAGGTATGTCTTTCTTCCCAGCTTGTTCGTCAACGCATTACATGTTCTAGAGTATGCTGTTCAGCCAATTGAAAAAGGTGACCTTTAACAATATTCTACTTCCCTTACCTGTTCCGAGCCAGGGCTCATTTTTTTTGTTGTTGTTGTTGTTGGAGTCTAACAGATAAGTGGCTCGATTTTTTCCTTGAATCTTGAGAAAATGCTTGATCCCCTTTTATAGGCGATTTTACAGCAACATCATTGCAGCTCGGTTTTTAACCAATTTATATATACATAGAAACGCTTCAACTTGGTGAGCTTACTTAGAGCAGCATTCGCCATATGGGCGTTTGGATTCAATAACCACAACTGCATCAGAAGTTGATATATATTTTGTCTAGCCTGTATCGTTTTTGCGCCAAATAAGTTTCTTCGATGTTCGTATAGAAAGCAGTCAACCACTTCAGCGCTTATTCATTTAAGGATGTGCACTGTGCAGGTGTCAATTTCCTTGCATTCGGTACGGGCTCACGTGGAAGAGGATGAAGAAGGGTGCCCCTAAAGTTCTGACCAGACTGCTTATCCATGTGTCAAAAAGTCCAACAGCGTAGGGGCTTCTATTCCCGATTGACGGGAAGACGATCCGATATCTGTAGTGGGAAAATACAAACCTAGGAAGAGCCAGTTGGCGCGACTTATTGAGCGAACACTATAACCTGTTAACCTTCGGACAGTCGACTTTCGCCAAATAGGCACCTCCATCATGTCGGAAGTCCATGCAAATGAGAATAACCGTCTCCCTTATGTTCTGATATCTAATTTGACCTTGGAGTCCTAATGCTAAAAATATCTTCGACTGAGTTCACATCCTGCAAGTTATATGAGATGGTTGTAAGTGCGGCTTCTGAAACCTTAACAAATATGCCGGAATATATAATACGTCATAGGACGAGAAAAGCCCCAACACCCCAATCCAAACGTATACTTATTCCAGCCCCGGCTCGGTCGAGGTAAAAACAACTACGTGGGCAATGCCAGACAAACGCTTACCTACACTCTTTACAAACTTGAGCTAAAGCGGCATTATACTTTACTACTTTTAACACGGCCATTCGATAGCTACTGAGGTTAAATTTTAATATAAAGCATATCGTATTGTAAAGCATATGTATTGTTACAACGCCAGCATAGCTGTTCTATGCTCGCATCTCGTTTGCTCCATAAAATAGCAACCACACGTTATTATTTTGGATTAACTATCAAGTAGTTAGTACTAAGTAAACAGCGAAATGCAGTCGTAAAAATAATTTGTTAGTCACATCTCACAGCAAAAGCGTGCTTTTCCCATAATGCAATACATATAACATTAAACTTGCCTCGATGCTCATTTAAAAAGGGAAGCATTACACAACAAGCAATCAACACCACCGTGAAAGCTAGGTTATTCTTTGCGATGCACATAAAAGCTAACGAGTAGAGCTATAAAGAAAATGATAGTCAGGTGGCTTTGGGGATTGTTTCTGAATTTATACAAAAGCAAAAAAGAAATGTTTTTATGGATGTCTAAAAGGAATATTGGTCAGTTCTAACGGCGAGCCTTCAATTATGTAACTCTATCTAATGTGAGACCGACGCGGGAGGTCATCATCAAATGGCCGCACCCCTCAAAGGTCAGCGGAGAGAAGATGATTCCCTCAAACAATTAGGTGCCGTCTCTGCGGGACGGCAAAAGTGGGCCTCAGTAATGGAATCAGAGACGATCCATGATCGAGGAAGCTGGAACCGGACCCCTTTGGGAGGGACTCTGAGTACCACCCACTGCGGGGGAGAGGGCGGGGTCCCGGGCCGTGAGGGGCCGCGGGGCGCCGGCACCACTGGTGCCCGGCTGGTGACGGCCGGCCTGAGCCAGTGGTGCCGGCGCCCCGCGGCCAGTGAGGGCAGAGCGCTGGTGCATCGCCGCTGCCCAACCCCAGCACAAGCAGCCAGAGCGGCGGCCGGCCGGCCAGGCCTGCCGACAGAACAGACACCGACACCAACACACCGACACGGAGAGGGGCGCCGGCGGCCGGCCGGTCCCACCGACCGACCGGGCCGCCGGCGCCGGGCGCAGCGGGGGCGGCGGTGCGCGGGACACGGGGCACCGGGCGCAGACCGGGGGAGGGGGGGACACTCAGGCGGCTACACGGCCAACATCCAGCCACACACGGAACGTACGGACCGGCCACGCAGGCAGCCGCAGATGCCGGCAACATCAGACACTGACAAACTTCCTCCGGTAGCATATAAATTAGTGTTAATGTTGAGAGGTCGCTAGGATCAACGAATGAACTTATGACGACACACAGGTGGAAAGATAACCTTAAAACTCTTGTCTTAAAAAGAGAGCAAGTAAGAAATTTGCTGCCTATCATTAAAAGCACGAATAGAAGGGAACAATAATACACCTTTCAGCACGTCTGTATATACAGTTAATCGTAGCACAAATTAATATGTAAATGCTTATTTCAATGAATGATTGCATCGCACAACCATAGAATAGAAAGCTTAACAGGAGACGGTGCCAAATAATTGAGCAGGGAGCATGCATTGGAGAATGTATCAGAAGCATTCGTAAATTGATCATTTTGTGGATGATCATGGGGCAAACATGGCCCGAAAATGTGCAAAAAATGGAATAACTTAATTTTATACAGCATGATTTTATCTCTCGTATTCTATCCATAAGAAAGTGATGCGCGATCACTTGGATTAGCATCACACAGAATCAGCAAACTTATACACAAACTGGAACGACATAACCAATAAATAGAATCTCCAAAACTACAAATAATACATCTGTTTTCATTGCAAAGGATCCAAATAGAAGCGCATAAGAACGCAACCTCATACAAGAAATGGAAATTCAGTACTTTTCCTTAAAAGGCGATAAGTCTGTATAATTTCAGATGGGAAAAATATTATCTTTGTGTGTGCAACACGAAAGCAGGGCCTCAAAAAGCGCCAGATACTAACGGGTGTCTACTAATTTTTGGCACAAAACTAAATGTCTCATAAATCACATATATTTTGCTCAAACGTCACCAAACTTCACACATGGTTGGAAGCACTCATACTTAACGCTATCTGATCAGTGCAGGCTGCTGTTGACTCCTCGTCGCTCGGCACGGCGCACGCGCTCCGGGACCCTCTCCATCATGGTGCGCGGCACCTCCTCTCGGATCGAACGAAGAACCCTCTGAATACGGTTCTTCAGCTGGACTTCTGATGCCGCTCTCCATCCGCCCTTGTAAACTTCCTGCTTGACGATGCCCCAGAAGTCCTCGATGGGGCGCAGCTGAGGCACGCAGGGCGGGTTTTCATCACGCGCAACAAACGGCACCCCAGCCTCCTCCAGAAGGGTGACCGTTTTCTTGGCATAGTGGGCCGCTGCCAGGTCTGGCCAAAAAATAAACCCACCATGAGGGTACTGTTCTCTCAAAAATGGGAAAAGTTTCTTCTGGAGACACTCTTGGCGGTAGAAGTCGCCCCCTACGTTGGTGCGGCTCGGGCAGATGACAGGGCTTGACACCCCCCTGGGAGAGATCGCCACCCAGACGAGAAGCTTTCTCGGGAACTTTCCCATAGGCCGGAATCTGACGTCATTCGGTACGTCTCCTCCAGGGCCAGCGTAGAAGCCGGAGTTTGCGGGCATATCACATCCTGAGAACGTAAAATAGCTCTCATCATCCATGACCACCTCCAGTTCGGCGTTCCTCGAGAACGACCCACGGGCCAGCCGTCTTATCCGGGTCTTCTGCCGCTTTTCTTGCTCAGGAGTGACCTCGGGCACCTTGATCCCTTTCGTATACTTTATGTTGTTATCATGAAGGATTTTCGCCACATACTAATGAGATACGCCAAAACGCCGGGCCAGCACGCGCAGGGATGTTCCAACGCGTCCCTTGGCGGCATTCAAAAGAAGGCGCTTCTTCTGGGGCCCAAGTTTGGAGGGTTTTGCGCCAGCTTTCCCTTTACCGGCGTGCTTACTGCTACCCCTTGTCTCAATGTTCTTTAATATACGGTAGGCAGTTCTTCTCGACACTCCTGCTACCTCCAGCCGTGACACAAGCTCGCTTTTTGGTAGGAAATGGTGTTCTTTGGCAAAATTGGCCACAAATTCACGAACCTGCGTTTTAGTCAAAGTCTCCATGATAAGTGAATATTGCACGAAAATAAAATAAAAATTTTGTGGCGAGTGCACAATTGTTAGGTCTTCATATGCAAAGAATTTCAGTGACATTGGGTGACGTTAGTGTAAATAAAAATAAATCAAACATTTGTGCCAAAAATTAGTAGACACCCGTTAGTTGAACGTCTCAAGAGTCCGGCAACATATAAATCAATGAGCTATACTGTCAAATGACTTATGCGGAATCCGTACGCTAAAAAGAGTGATACAAACGGGAACGTAACAAAATAGACTGGATTTTAAAGGTCTTCAGCCTAAAATTTTACTGCCGTTAGAAAACATTTATCGCCTCTTAGGAGAAACTGGCAGCATGCAGAAAAACGTTCCGACGCGCCTTCTAAAGGGTTTGCAATCGAATATATAGAATAAGCTGCATAGTTTTTTTACAATGCCTTAACAATAAACTTCTAGCATGCAATATATACCCACTTGCTTCAGAATTTGTTTTTATTTGTAGTTGTAAAAGCTTTAGATTCGTTTCCTTATTGCGCAATTATATATACGGTAATTCAGTAAATATATAGATTTTCTTTGCTGACAGCAGTTGCGGAACAACCATTAAATCAATGGAAGAAAAGACCTCTTGGCAATAACACTTCCAGCAAACATGAATAGCCATGCGAAGCGTTAAAGCAATCATCAGCGTAGCATCTTTATTACATGCCAGGGATAAGTAAATTCATGCAGTACACATGCAGTTGCATGCATGGGCCACTTTGAGCCGGCATGCACCCACCCCTGTGTGATATTTCTGCTCCGCCCTGGCCCGAGGATCGAAAGGCGAGGCCACCTTTTCAGCCAGTCTCCATTTATAGAGTACTGGCTGACGCAGGATTTGTCAGCATCAGACGATGACTTTTACCGGCGCCCAGTTCCCTTCATTAACTTTGTTCTTTGCCATCTTCAGTGAGCTGTGTTCCCTCAATGTGTTAACCGAGCTTCTGTCGTAGGCGATGTCAGCAAGGGTATGCTTCGTTTAAAAGAATGTCCAAAACAGCCCAACCAGTTATTTTTCGGTAATCTATTCAATTGGGTGCTTTCCTATTTCTTTCGTATTAGGAAAGAGCTTTCCATTTCATCGTATATTTTCGATTAAATTCCCTGCGCTAGATCTCCCGGTATCTGAAAGAACCACCACCAAATTTCATGTCCTGCCTCGATCCCCACCAATGCGCTCTTCACATACCAGCACACCCCACTTCCGTCGACCAGATCCCCTCTCCGTGACTCCGAACCGATCCCAGTCCCACTAACGGGGGATCTGACCCGACCCCACTCACCCGGGCGGCGAGAGAAGTGGTGGGCTTCTCCATCAGGTCCCAGAGGAACTTCTGGTACTGGGCCAACTTCCCTGTACCAAACTGGTCCGTATCGGCCGCCGCCAGCGAGTCGGCCTCCTTCTTCATCTCATCGTTGACATACTCGCGGCGCGTGTGGTACTTGTGCTGGCAGCACGACTCCAGGTACAGTTCGTCGATGCCCCAGTACTCGAGGTCCTCGCTGAAGGCGATCACACACATCTCCTCCACCAGGTGCAGCTTTCCCGTGCGGTAGAAGTTGAGGATGCTGCAGAACGAGCGCGGGTGCCGGTCGAAAAAGAACTCGTTCTCCATCAGGGAGTACTCGTCACACACGGTCAGGATGTCCTCGTGTGTGTTGCAGCCCTTCAGCTTCCCCAGCCGTGTGCGCGGCAGCCGCTCCAGGGTTGACCAGAGTACCTCGTTGCGGACACCCCCCACGTTGATGACCACCCGCTTGTTCATGGACTTGACGCGGATGATGGTGGCCGGCTCGGGGGGCGGCGGTGCCAGCGCCTTGCGCAGAGCGGCGACGGTGAGTCCGCCGGCCCGCTGGCTGGCGGCGCTGGCAGGCCGGTTGGAGGTGCCGCCCCCGCCCCCGCCCCCGCCCCCGCCGCCGCCGCCGCCGCCCTCCGACTTATTGTCCATCGCCGACTTCCTGAGGAACAGAGGAGAGTGGGGTGAACAACAGACATGGACACGTTGTTTGTTTGGAACTGGTTTTCGTCATGAACAGTTACTACATTGATGCCTTCTCAGTGATCTGTGTATGCTGATATGTCCAGTAATTTATTAGGTTAGGTTCAATAATGGCACGAGCCATGCGAAACGCATCATTTCATTATCGATAGACCATTTCCACGACACCAAAACACGCTCTATGCGTCCATGTCCGTATTTCTATTTCAGCATAGCTCAGCTATTGTTGGTGTCGGGACGTGCCATCACAAAAGTAGGCCAGTCTCACGACCATCAGGCGTCCCATAACGAGCCACACTTGTCAGTGTCACTGAGGAGGTCAACCAACCCAGCTGAGGTCCATTCAGTCGGCGGCCGCCGACACGCGCGCTGAATATAACCCCGCTGCCCGCTGCGGCCACAGACAGACACAATCTGGGTATGAATGCGTGCATATACATGTCAAGTCTGAAATCTACTCCCGAGTGCCACCCCGACCGCTGGAAACGGTTTCCCCGGAACATCGTCCGTCTCAACAGGCCAGTTCCAGTATCCGCACGATAATGTAGCGGACGTAATGCTCGTACACCACATCCAGCCGTGACAAAAGTTTCAAGACATTCGCAGCAACACTCGCCCTCCCATCTTGGCTCGGATGAAATCCATCTGATCCCTGATTACGTGACAATCACCTATCTCAGACGGGCTCTTTAGAGCATATTGCCCTGTTGGCGGTCCCCACTATCCCCTTTTGCTGCCGATGATCGGTGGTCCCGGCAGGCGTGTTTGACTGCGGTTTTGTGCTAGGTTTCGTCAGTGTGGGCCCATTTTTCGGCCGGTTTTCTCGCCGCTGCGGGAGGCGTGACACGGCACGCGGCGGCGATTACGAGTCGGACGTCTGATGCGGCGGTCCGGGCGGCTCGGATCGATGGCAGCCGCTGCCGCCGCCGCCGCCGCCGCCGCCAACGCTACAGCGCCGACCTAGAGAGGGCTGCCGGGGAGCCCAGCGGAGAGCCGTAACGACCATCAACGGCGTAACGACTGACCAACACCAAACAGAGCTGCGTAGATGGTGTCAGGTCGCCCTGTCGGACAGAGCGACCGGAGGGTTTCCGTCACACTGACCAGAGCGGGCGTGTTGGCTGTCGCTATACCGGACAGGCAGACCCATTAGCAGTGGTGATAGCAGGCGACTGGGAGTGTATCAGCCAGATAAGACCTGCAGCGGCTGTGTTGGACAGAGTGGACCGCGTGGCCCCGGGGAATGTAACAGACAAACAGCCGGGAACGGCAGTCGATACCGTCGTCTGTACACGACACGATATGACGGCTTATCTGGACTCCACTGACGGGGAAAATACATACCAGTCTTATGTCGACAAGGGCTGTCCTGATAAAATAGTGATGATACAAGTGCAGCTGCTAGAATTGCGGGTTACAATTAAAGCCACAAACAATGCCCAGTTAACCACCATGCACCATAGCGTAACCCAATTTACCCGTTTCCATGTAAGTACCTAGTGCGTAGTTGTCGCCGGGCTGTCCTGGCGTGGCGCTGTGCCCCCTGCGACCCTGGCCGGCCTGCAGTGGCGCCGGCAGCTCAGTAAGTCGGTCCGTATTGATCACGCCGCATACCTGACACGGTACACACGGACTCGCACGTGCCGCCGACGGCTGGCTTTCACAGGCGGCCGGAGGTGGCCTGTCAGCAGCCGGTGGTGACGGGCGGCGGTATACATATACCTACCGCAGCTCAGGCCGGTCAGAGCGGCTGGTAATAATAAAAGGGTGGTATGATTGAACCTCATGGATAGTCTTCTATTCAGTTAGATTAATTGTAGGTATCATTTCATTCATTTCATTCATTTCATTCATTTCATTCATTTCATTCATTTCATTCATTTCATTCATTTCATTCATTTCATTCATTTCATTTATTTCATTCATTTCATTCATTTCATTCATTTCATTCATTTCATTTTAATATATAGGAAGTAGCAATGATAAGCAAATTTGTATATTCTTATTAACATCAGTTTTATAAGACGCACAATACAATTCGTTAGTATAAGCCTTGTGCATAACGACGGAGCTGGCGACCGATCCTAGCGACGACATGCGTCGCAGTGTCGTGCGGCATATTGGCATCTCTGATACGGTTCACGGTTCAATGGACCAGTGATCGAGCGACCCCGCCTTTCTGTGATCTGACCGAGATCCGCCTACGTTCCTCGAGAGCCAGCTGGGAAACAAATTCAGAGGAACGCAGCATCCATGCCAGTGGGTGCTAACGTGGATGGTAGTATTCACACCCTTTCAAATAATGTGATGCATTCAAGTACATAGCTGGCGTATGTGTAACCACTTACAGATAAGAATGTTTGAATTTAGGCCGAGGGTTTTTTGCTCAAATGCTGGGCTGTTGTGGAATTACAGCCTTCACATACCTACAAGAACAACGAAGATAATGCTAAATAGAGGATTCCGGAAACTCTGATCCATCAGGATGAGATGGAAGGGCGTCGCATGTCATTAAGCCCGGCTTATGCTCATACTAATGAAGCATAAAGAGCTGAATTATATCGCAGTTTTCGACAGGATTCACTGAAATGACCAAGCACCCTTCATAGCTCCCTAAGCATTTGGATAGGTTAATCCAATATGCCCACTTTCCGTACAGTTTCAACATTCTCCATTGTTATTTCATTTTCTCTGACTGCGGAGCCCACAGTAACTCTAGTTGATGATGATTCGCGTTTAACTCTACTGCCCAGACGACTGCATACACAATCCCAATTTGGAATTGGACTGGTTCAGAATGGCTCTCAGAAGCCTGCCGTGGGTGTAAGGGTCGCCTCCCGGCGCACGTGCCGGTCATATCTGGCTCTGGCCGGCGCGGCGGTGTTGCGCCACTGCCCGGGACGCTGGTCACGGGTCACGGGTCACGGGTCACGGGCGGTCACGGCGCCGGGTGAGCGGCGCACCGCGTATCGACCCGGACTGGCCACGGCCAGCAGTCCGGTGAATATTTTATACCGGTCGGGGCTCGAACCCGTTCGTCTCCCGCGTTACGGAATGGCGGAACAGCGGTGCCAGTCGGGCATATCAAAACAACTGCGAGTGTGAATCACGTGCTCGGGGGAGCTATGGGAATCTGATGTGGCCAATTTCTCATTTGAATAGCTCGCAAAGTAAGATAAAAGCATATTCCGATAAATATAAAATGTAATTTAAAAACGGTCCTGCATACTGATGCGAATCGTGGGCTAAGATATTTTTCGTATGTTTTCCTTTATAGCTGGCTATGTTTCTTTAGTTTTGGAAACCAGCGCGCTTCAAATGTCATTGTGGATAGCTCTGGCATTTACAGTTGAATAATTTATTGTCGTGTCAGTGTCGTCGAGCAGGTAAAGCCTTCACATGTATGACTAGAGAAGTGACACTTTTTTAATATAAAGATACTGTATTATAGAAAGCCTTCGCAAACGCGTTACGAACATATCTTCGTCAGTGCTAGCTTCCCATAATACAAAATCAAAAATCAAAAATCATTGTATCAAAAATCATTTTGATTTTGTATTAGGATGGGAAGCTAGCACTGACGAAGATATGTTCGAAACGCGTTTGCGAAGGCTTCTATAATACAGTACCTTTACCTATATTCAAAAAAATTCACTTATCTATGTCATACATGTCACAATGAACGTTCAGATAAAGCCTTCACATTTTAAGTTTCGATCAAACAACACGTATAGTTACACCAATTTATGCAAAGAAATAATGACAAAAGTTCATTGAAGCTGCTGGTGCACACATCAAGTCATAGTTTCCAACAAACGCATCGTCATTTAATTCAGCGTCTGTATTTGACTTCTTGGCTGACAGGCTATTTCTTAACAGTTGTCCTCGAAACAGGCGAGCAAAAACAGAAAAATGAAAAAGTAGCAAAGCATTGTCAGACGAAACGGCCGTTTGGCCGTGCGCAAATTGACAGCTGCCAGTGGTCTGTCTGGGCAATTTCCAGGAACACTCCAAGCACCGAATCATCTCCGAACCACTAAAACTCATCGAAAGAGGTCGGCGCATCTGCAGCATGTTTTGTCTCAATCATGCAGATAAAAAAGTAAAAACATGGCGCAAAATTCAAGAGAGCTACATTGTTTTGACTCCTTCGAAAAAAAAACTCCCACACCAGTCTGAGCGCGATAGTCGGTGGCGAAGTTTTTGCTATCCGCCTGACAAAATACATCGTCCGCGTTCAAAGCGACTGGTAATCCAGCTCTGAGTGGCGTTTGGCCGGGTCTAAGCTGACTCAGAATGCCCTGAGAGGTCCGGGGTTGGACGGTGACAAACGCACTCTGACAGCGACTGAGTTCACAGCAAGTGTCGAGACAATGTGACGGGCGTGACGATGTGACGGGTGACGGGTGGGAATGTGACGGTGCGTGACAGAAGCTCCCGGCTGCAGTGGGCGGGCCTGGAACAGTCTGTGACTGGTGCAGGCAGACGAGGTGGAACGATGCGTATCGATTTGACAGTCGTGTGTGTCTCTGACAGTACCTATAGCGTGGCTCTCAGATGACTGATAAGATCAGTCCGGTGGATGTTATGAACGTGATGATCTATAAGGATGGTGTGAATGCGACTGAACGTGTGAATACACCTGGCGCCAAAGCTCTTATTTGTACTTACATTAAAACCAGTGACCTGACCGACAGCTTCTGAGTCATAACTGGTAACTGGGCAGAGCACACCTGACAACCAGCGAGCAGTCGGAAGGACGTACTGGCCCTCAGAGAGACCGGTGAGCTACAGCGCGGCTCGTCACCAGGGGAAGGCGGGGCCACCCACGGCTCGTTACCAGGGGAGGGCGGGGCGACGCACGGGGCCATCACCACGGAAAAGAGATCCGTTGCATGGGTCCTGACCGGGCCGGCTGCCAGTCTCCTGGCCGGACCGCCAGCGATCCTTATCGGAGACGATGACGTCGGTCTCCGTCTCAGCGCTGTACTGGTATTCTCAGGGGCCGGCGCTGTCACTGACCGGTCTGGGACGGGACTGAAAGGCATACTTACCGTAAAAGTAATTATGTCTTTCTTTAGAATGTGTCCTCTATAAATGAGAAGTTTTGCCCTTTTCTTCAGATAAATCATTTTGTTGTCTGTTTGCCACTTCTTTTGATAAATCGGATAGCACATTTACGGAACTTGCTGAATCTGTTTCAAACTTTGCGTCCAATCAGCCATCTTAAATGACTTTCTAGACTTCGAGAATGGTAATTAACTATTCTAACGTTGCTCTTTCATCACATCCACGCTGCTACAAACAAGCAGTAAACTTATTGACAATTAGGCTGATAGCATCGAAGTGCCAAAAACAAGTTTGATAAATTATAAAATATTAAGCAATGGTTCCAGAAAGGTAGATACGGCTATAGCTGCGTGAATAAACAGAGCACAATATTTCATAACTTTAATCATAGTCAAGTGCAGTTTTATTTGTTTCGTTTTCATGTCCGAATGAACCATGAACTACATAATGAATTGAACCTCAACATGTGAACGCTTAAACGTTCCACAGCCCCCTGGGACCTTTCCATTTCGCCCCAACCAAGCTTGAAATTCAATTATCAGTTCTCAAGGTGGTCCAACTATAACTTGCCAGTCTGAACGGGTGGCCTAGCTGGCCAGTTGGGATTAGCTACTGCCTTGATCTGCGTGTATGCTATAAGTCAGAAAAGATCGGACGCCTGTGTCCGTTTGCCCGTATGCCTAATCTGCTGGTGAGTTTTTTTCGTTTGATAATCTGAGCTATAATGAATGAATTAATTGCTGTAATGAAATGCAGTTTATCCCGCTATAACTCTACGACACATCAGCCAAGAAGCGAAAGTTTTATTCGTTGCTACGTCTCATTAATTTATTAGGATTAATATTCATTTTTACAATCACAATTAAATTATTTATTGCATCAGTCCTCAGTAATTGTTTAATTGTTTTTTAAGGACTGTAGATGCAGATGGCCCCCGGCCACTGCTCGCGCCACCATCGCCCGCATCTGCTCCCTGCCACCCCTCGGTCACCTGGCCACCTCAGAGACTTGGCCGTGGACAGATCTGTATTGGACCGCTCTGGATCCCGTCTTCGATCATTTGATTGTTACTGCAAACACATCCACACAATACGAGCTCGAGTCAAATACCAGTTGGCACGATGCAAAATGGGTCACAACACAGCTCGGGGTCCAAGAACTCTGTTTAACATTCTACAAGTAAGTAAATAAATCAAGCAATACACAGCAGACGTTGAGGTATCGAAATTCAAAGCAAAGATAGACAATGAGCATCTTTAGTGATAACATACCGGCTTATCCAGTCTCTGGCGCGCTGCCAAACGACCACGGCGACCGAACTCACGAGGCCACCAGGGCAGCCTCCACAAACAAGCTCCACAGCTTGTCCTCCCCGAATCGGGGGCAACCGAGCCACTGTCCCGGAGAATCGAACATATCAGCTCATATAAACCGGTTTTCACATTAAAGTTATACAACAAAACAAATATTCATCACATAAATTCAACTGAGTAGTTACCATATTAGATTCAGCAGTTACAAACCTCTAGAACCTCACTCACCGGTACCAAAATCCGGAGCACCCGCAACACATCCGCCTCCAATCATGGCGGGGAACGAAAAGACCGCCTTCCGCGCAGTCGGACTCGACATCAGAACCGGTCACGTGACTGCCAGCGCGGCATTCGAAATTCCGGAAAACACAATATCCGCTTACAACCAGCACAATCGGTGCCCTACGAGATAGTACAAATATTCCAATGATATTTCAAAAGCAATTAATTAACAACGCCATCTAATTAATGAAAACACGCGCACTATATCCCTACGCACAAGCGTTCAGCGGCCCGCCGCTCCAACGCGCACTTCGGCTCCTAGAGCCGCCGGTTTTATCGGGAAACGAGCACGAAGGATATGTGAAACGGGTCGGAAGACGGACAAGCTGCAGGAAAGGATAGGATAGGACGGGCGCCATCTACACTCCCCCCTTCGAATGACTGAGGCATTCGAAGCACAGGAGCGCCCGTCAAGCTGACAACCTCTACAAACCTGACGATCCGTCCACGAAAAAAAAAAAAAAAATATTTATATATATATATCTACCACCACACAACACTGAACCGATGAGCGTCCCGCTCACACTCTACCTATCCTACCTTACCGAGCCTGATCAGCCCTGTGGCTGACGGCAGCCTATTTCTAGACGGCACCTTACTTCTAACTTACTCTAGATCGGAGTCGGACCTCACCACTACCATCTTGTGTATTGGGCGCAGATACACAGAGGTGCTAGTCTTAACGAGAGCCTTTCTCACCTTGCCATCTCGGCTGGGAAGAACCTCCTGTACCTTCCCCATCTGCCACTGGCCTCGCTGCACATTCTCGTCTACTAGCAAGACTACATCCCCAGGCTCCAGGTTGCGAGACTCCTGCGTCCACCTCTGCCGAGACTGCAGTGAGAGCAGGTACTCGCTCCTCCAGCGAGTCCAAAATTGCTGCGCCAAGTACTGGACATGACGCCAACGGCGTCGGGAGAACGAGTCGGCCTCTCGAAACTCGCCTGGAATCGGCCCAGGACGGCCCCTCAGGAACAGCAAGTGTCCCGGAGTCAGGGGTTCCACATCGCCATCAGCGGTAGACACGTAAGTCAGAGGGCGGTCATTCATAATGGACTCTATCTCACAGAAGAGGGTCTGCAACGACTCATCGTCCACCCGCTGCTGCGTCGGCATGGACCTCCAAATCTTTCTGAACGTCCTGATTTGCCTCTCCACTCCACCGGAAAAGTGAGAGGCAGTTGGAGGGTTGAACCTCCAGTCGATACCCCTCTGAAGAGCAGCACGCTGGAGATCACGGCTGCTTACGTCCCTCAGCGCTTCTCGGAGCTCTCGATCAGCGCCAGTCATGTTGGTACCCATATCACTCCGCACCTGACGGATCTGCCCCCGGCGGGCACTGATACGTCGGACGGCGTTGATGAGGGAATCGGTGCGGAGAGAATCTAAAACCTCTATATGAACACCGCGCGTGACAACACAGATACACATCAGACCGTACCTTTTCTTCTCCCCCCGTCCAGCCTTAACTAAAATCGGACCAAATACATCTAACAAGACGGAAGAGAACGCTGGCGTGTCACCGGACACGCGCTCCTCCGGCAGGTCTGCCATCAGCTGCCGCTGAGGACGGGCATTGACCTTCCGGCACACGACACAGTTTCGGATCAGCCTCCGGACCTCCGGTCCGGCACCCAGAACCCAAAACCTCTCACGCAGCCTCCAGAAGGTATGGAGTCTGCCCTCGTGACCCACCTCAGCGTGAGCCTCCCTTATCACTAACCTAGTCACATGATGCCGCCTGGGCAGGATCACCGGGTGCTTGGCACTCACGGAGATACAGTCGGACCGCTCTAGCCTACCGCCCACCAGCAGCAGACCATCACTCAGTATAGGGCGTAGCTTCGCCAGCGGACTGTTCCGCCTGACGCTGACTGGACCATCGTCACACACACCGCTCGGGTACTCTGGCAGATCTCGCTGGACTCGGCGCAAGATCGCCAGCTCGGCGCCGCGTAGGTCTGACACCGTCAGAGAAGTCCGGACGGGCACTTCCCGGCGCCGCAGCCCTCGCCGTCTCGCCAAGCACCATCTTCGGAACTCACCGCTCCGAAGAACATCGATGAACCGACGGTACCAAGCCACCGCTCGCTTAAGTCTAAAATAGGAAGAAAAATGCTGAATCAGCACGTCACACGGCTGAGCCGAATCAGCTCCGACCGCTGTCAGGACGACCGGCACCGACTTCACCTCACTCGCCGGCAGGGCGGACGGAACAGCAGGCTCCACCGGCCAGCAGTCGACGTCCCCCGCGAGAAAATCGGGCCCGCTCAACCAGGGTCCCAAGTCGGTCGGCGCACAGCCCCGAGAACCCACATCCGCTGGGTTCGCGTCCGTCGGCACGTATGACCACTCGCTTACCTCTGAGCCATCATGAATGTAAGCGAGCCTGTTAGCCACGAAAGTTTTGAACCGCGTCGTGCGATTCCGGATACAACTCAGGACTATCATGCTGTCAGTCCACATATGAACAGTATCAAATCGGGTGCCCAACTCCCTCTGCAGTACTTTCCTCACTCTCACCGCCAACACAGCGGCGGCCAACTCCAAGCGCGGAACTGACACAAACCTGATAGGGTTCACCAGCGATTTCCCCATCAGAAACGCCACAAACCGCTCCGTTTTACCCTCAGATGAGCGCACCTCCCGCCTGAGATACGCAACAGCCGAGTGCGCACTTTCACTGGCGTCAGCGAACACGTGCAGCTGGGTGGTCAGAACCTCCCCGGGTGGGCCCACGATAGATCGATCTAGCCGGACCAGATCCAGCTCTCTAGCCCTGTCCAGCCACTCTCGCCACTCTTCCGCCAGTACGGCAGGAAGAAGGTCATCCCAGCCACAAGAGAGAGCGCACAGCTTCTGGACCAACACGCGTCCCGTCACGGTGACGGGGGAGACCACACCTAAGGGGTCAAAAACAGAGCTGACAGTGGACAATACACCACGTCTGGACCAGGGCTTCTCCTCACCTCGGAACTGAAACCGGAAGGTGTCATCATCGACCGACCATCTGAGACCCAACGCACTCTCGGCGCAGAGTCGGTCCTTGTCGAGGTCCAGCTGTTTGACTTTCTTACCTCTGTCTTCCATGGGTACATACTTCAGGAACTGCGGACTGCTGCTGGTGAATTTAGTCATATTGAACGCTCCCGTGGCGCACAGCGCCTTCAGATCCCGTGCCAGATGCACAGCATCCTCAACGGAGTCCACAGCACACAGTGCGTCATCCACATATGTGTTGCGAATCAGAGCATCAGCGGCCTCCGGATAGCTCGATCTACCCTCCTCAGCGCACCGGCCCAGTGCGAAACTGGCGACACTCCCACTCGACACAGCTCCAAACACATGAGACCTCATTCGCCAGAGTTGCACATCTCCGTCCGGATCGTTGTCACGGAACCACAGGAACCTCAACATGCTCGTGTCCGACTCTGGTACATGCACCCTGTGGTACATGCTCTGAATGTCGCACGCAAAAGCGACCCGCCCCTCACGAAATCGACAGAGCACCCCCAGCAGGGAGTTCGTCAGAACAGGTCCCTTCCTCAGCAAGTCATTGAGACAGGTACCACCACTCTTAGCCGCGCAGTCAAATACCACGCGCAGCTTGCCCTTACCAGGCTCCCACACGCCATGGTGGGGGAGGTACCATACGGGACCTGTGACGTCATCGTCAGAGACTGGAACGGCGTACCCGTCATCGACCAGCGAGCTGATAACACGCCGGTACTGGTCAAAATACTCTGGGTCAGATCGGAACCGCCTCCGGAGTGAGTTCAACCGTCTGGCCGCCGTTCCGAAGCTGTCTGGCAGCTCTCCAAAATCGGTTTTGGGAAGGGGGATCTCAAAATGACCCTCCGAGTCCCGCCGGACGCCTGACTCGACGTCGGCTATCCACTCACGCTCCTCAAGGGAAAAACACTCACGGTCATCAGACAGGTCACCAAAGTCCCGCTCGTACATGGCTCGAAACTGACAGCCTTCCGAGCAGTGATCACGGACACTCTGGGTAACCCCATCATCAGAATCGGTCGCCCTCTCGACCCTCAGGAAGTTGACAGTCAGCCTGCCCCTCGAGACTGCTGTCCCAGGGACACGTCCGATCACATACCACCCCAACACGGTACGGATGGCACACAACCCCGCCTGGCCCTCAGGCGGAGCCCGGACCTCCCTGGCAAGAAGCAGTTCGGCACAGTTCGACCCAATCAGGATCCCCACAGGCGTGTCCACCTCTGTCAGCGCGACATCGGCGAGATGAGCGGCTGCCCTCAGCTCACTCCTCGGACACCTGTCCTCCTGAGTCACCGGCAGGGACGGAACGGTCATCAGAGGCGGCAGAGCATGGAAAGCTCCCCCTCTCGCATCGGCCACCTGCACGCCCGACGCGAGGCACGTCTGAATCCGCCTCTTCCCGCTCCCCACCGTCTCGAGCACAACACTCGTCTCCTCGGTCTGGAGTCCCAACAAGGAAACAAGTCCGTCAGTTAGGAAAGATCCCGAGGAGCCCTGGTCCAAAAATCCGTTAGTGACGACCACTTTGCCGTCTGGACCACGGAGGCGCACAGCCACGACCGGCAGCGCCGTCCGATCGACACCTTGGAGTCCAAGGCTCGCACTGATCACGGCTCCGCTGTGGGAACCCGACCCCTCACCGCCGGGAGGTGGCGCCACAAATCCACCACGAGGTGGCGCCACACCATCTCCGCGCGGCGGCACCACCGCCGCCTCGGGCCGCAACTCCCGGCCGCCGCCGGCACCACGCCGCGCCACCGGCGGCTGGGCGGAAACCGGAGGGGCAGCTGGAACACCACGAGCGTCACAGTCGGGGTCCCGGTGCATCACCGACGGGTGACGCCCACCGCAAGAGCGGCAAGTCAGCTGGCTCCTGCAAGAGCGGGCACGGTGACCCTCCCTGAGGCACCCGAAACAAAGCCCCGCTCGTAACACCGTCCGACGCCTCTCAGGCCAGGGCCTCTCAAACATCCGCTGGCACCTGTCCAGCTCATGGCGACCGTCACAAAAAGGACACAGCCCTGACCCCGCGCCCGGTCGTGTGACCCGAGCTGCGCTCACCTTAAACCCGGGAGAGGACCTGGACACAGCCTCACGGCGCGCGGGTTCGGCACTACGAGGACCGAACAGAGGATTCCGCTTTACACGGACCTCAGCGGACAGAAACCCGACCAGGTTCGACAGGCGCACGGTCGAGCCCTCCTGAAGGAGTCTATCTGCCTCTCTCATCCACCGATCCTGGAGGTACGAGGGCAGCTTCGACATGACAAGGCGCAAGTTCGTTGGATGGTCAAATTCACTCAGTTCCACACTCTCCATCGCGTTCATGATCTCGGTCAGGAACAGAAGGAGCTGGTCCAGACTCTCAACATCGCCAGCGGCCACCTTAGGCCAGCCTCTCACCTGTTCGACATAGGAGTCGACCAGCCCCACACTGTTGCCGTAGCGAACCTCCAGGAGCCGCTTTGCCTCTGCAAAACCAGCCTCCCCCAGGTGGAGACACCCTCGCACGAGCTGGTTGGGCTTTCCCTTCGTATATTGATCGAGATAAAAAAGAAGCTCATCTGGGTCCTCAGTCTTTGTTTCAATACGGGCCTGGAACGATCTAGTAAATAAACGATAGTCTCTTATTTCGCCGCTGAACGGGCGGAGCTCTGCGGGGGGCAACAGGGACCGCTTGACCTGGGCACTGAGGGCCTCCCCCAGTGAGGGCTTACCCACCGGCTCGATCGGAACCTGCACCTGGGCCAACTCAGGCTCCACTAGGTGCCCTGCCTCTACCAACTCGCGTTCAAGTTTAAGCTGCTCCGACCTGGCCTGCAAAAGCGATTCGCGTGCCCTCACCGCCATCCGCTCCTGCTCTACGGCCTGTTCCTCCTTGAGGAGCTTAAGTTTCGCCAAAATAATCGATACATCTGTCGATGGCCCTCCAGTAGCTTCTCGGGGACTCACCTTATTCTCTGCCGGGTTTAACTGGTCCATCTCAGTCTCGAGGGCTGACCACAACCTATCCACTAAATCCTGCTTCTTACCGGTTACCTCCAGCCCACGGGTCTCTAATTCCCGTTGCAGCTCTGTCAGCTTCAACCTTCCCAACTCCTCCTTAGTAGGCGCCATTTCAGGGTGAGGGAATAGGAATCTGCACAGCGGGGATACCACAGACCTTCCACCCTCACTTATCTACTATCTAGACACTTAAAAACACTTCCCAGCACTGAGAGGATACCGCATTCCTCAGCAATCACTTAATCTAAACACCTTAACCTAGACACTTCCCAGCAATATAAAAACACACCACATAACACAATTTAAAACCAGCGCAGGACCACCACAGGATCACCCTTACCAGTCAACTCAGTCCAGCAGAAGCAGCAGGTAGCAGCAAACCTCAGACGGCCAGATCCTCCAGCTCCCAGCTCCGGCCGAACCAGGATGCCGGCACCAGGCAGCGAGGAGAGGCGGTCGCTGCTACTCAAGCAGATGCAGAGCTGAAGGTGCAGCTCCGCGAAAGATGTTTCCGCCAGAGGGGCACTCACCCGCTGGGAGCACCCTCTCAGCCCGTCCAGGGGCACACTACACTGCACGCACCAAGGGCGCGCACCACGCAGCGCCTCTCGCTGGCGCACACCACGCAGCGCCTCTCGCTGGCGCACACCACGCAGCGCCTCTCGCTGGCGCACACCACTCAGCGCCTCTCGCTGGCGCACACCACTCAGCGCCTCTCGCTGGCGCACACCACTCAGCGCCTCTCGCTGGCGCACACCACTCAGCGCCTCTCGCCGGCATACACCACGCAGCGCCTCTCGCCGGCGCACACCACTCTGCGCCAGCCAGCCGCACACCACTCCGCGCCAGCCAGCCACACACCACTCAGGCAGAATCCTGGAAGGCGCGGCGCGCAGCCGGTGCTGCAGCTCCAGAGGCAGATGAAGGCGCAGAGACTAAGCAGCAACTGTAGCTCCAGACGCAGCCGAAGGCGCAGAGAGGGAAGCCGCTACTGGGCTTCACCAGCAGATGAAGGCGCGGAGAAGGAAGCCGTAACTGTAGATGCAGATGGCCCCCGGCCACTGCTCGCGCCACCATCGCCCGCATCTGCTCCCTGCCACCCCTCGGTCACCTGGCCACCTCAGAGACTTGGCCGTGGACAGATCTGTATTGGACCGCTCTGGATCCCGTCTTCGATCATTTGATTGTTACTGCAAACACATCCACACAATACGAGCTCGAGTCAAATACCAGTTGGCACGATGCAAAATGGGTCACAACACAGCTCGGGGTCCAAGAACTCTGTTTAACATTCTACAAGTAAGTAAATAAATCAAGCAATACACAGCAGACGTTGAGGTATCGAAATTCAAAGCAAAGATAGACAATGAGCATCTTTAGTGATAACATACCGGCTTATCCAGTCTCTGGCGCGCTGCCAAACGACCACGGCGACCGAACTCACGAGGCCACCAGGGCAGCCTCCACAAACAAGCTCCACAGCTTGTCCTCCCCGAATCGGGGGCAACCGAGCCACTGTCCCGGAGAATCGAACATATCAGCTCATATAAACCGGTTTTCACATTAAAGTTATACAACAAAACAAATATTCATCACATAAATTCAACTGAGTAGTTACCATATTAGATTCAGCAGTTACAAACCTCTAGAACCTCACTCACCGGTACCAAAATCCGGAGCACCCGCAACACATCCGCCTCCAATCATGGCGGGGAACGAAAAGACCGCCTTCCGCGCAGTCGGACTCGACATCAGAACCGGTCACGTGACTGCCAGCGCGGCATTCGAAATTCCGGAAAACACAATATCCGCTTACAACCAGCACAATCGGTGCCCTACGAGATAGTACAAATATTCCAATGATATTTCAAAAGCAATTAATTAACAACGCCATCTAATTAATGAAAACACGCGCACTATATCCCTACGCACAAGCGTTCAGCGGCCCGCCGCTCCAACGCGCACTTCGGCTCCTAGAGCCGCCGGTTTTATCGGGAAACGAGCACGAAGGATATGTGAAACGGGTCGGAAGACGGACAAGCTGCAGGAAAGGATAGGATAGGACGGGCGCCATCTACAAGGACCTCCTTCCAAAATTATACTTTTCATTCATCTAAAACAAAAACAAAATACATCAATGAAAAGTATAATTTTGTAAGGAGGTTATTCAGAAACAATTAAACGATTTAAATGCCTTACATTCACCAAGCATTAAACGAATCCTTAGTAACATTTGATACGGGCACGGCACGGGTGGAGCTGGAATAGATATTTTGGATCGTATGTCATTGCCAAACCATTTCTTGCCGTTCTGCTGCTCGCCATTGCAGTGCACCGTTGGCATTGTGTGCACCCATGGCGCACAGCCCGGTCACTAGGTGCGAAGTTCGCAGTACGGAGCTGTGCAGATCGGCTGGAAATGTGCCAAAACGGCCTCAGCCCTACCAGCTGGACATACTGCCGAGTCACGGACCCCCGGGCCGAGCGGGATACGTCAGAGGCTCCAAAGGCTGACCTGAGACGGTTCACGAACACAGAGCACAGCCGGCAGCGCCGTAAATTCGCCACCTACCGACTACCGGCTGTTAATCCCTTAAAACAACCTCCGGGCGAGGAAGTTTCAGAAGGCCGGGCTATGACGAATTCATCACGACACGCTGCAGGATCAATACGTACACGGCAGCCCCCGGCAGCTCGAGCGCCAACGGAACGACGACAGAACACCACCCACCCCGCACACATGGCCCCACCAACCGCCAGGGACACTCACTTCGAAGGAATCCCGTTGCGAGCCAGTCTGACGGTTTTTGAAGGCCGCTGTCATCACAGCATGGTCCGCCCGACGGCGGACGACTCGGCGTCGATGTCGACACGGACGCCGACGATCGTTCGACACCCAGCCCGACGGCACACTGCGGAGGGTCGTCGACGCCGACGGGCCTCGGACGGCGCGGCTGCTGCCGGGAGTTCGACCCGGGCTGCCTCCGCGCCGCACCGAGAGCCCCTGGCGGCCAGGAGTGGAACTAACCGCCCCAGGGGACGGACGGAAACGGCGCTGACCTCTGCCCGGTCAGCGGTAATGGATGGCTTTCAGATGCCACCGAGGGTAGACTGTAGAATGACCTATGCTGACTACAATGCTGAAGGCGGTGTGCTGAGTTCACATCCACTGTAAAGCGAAACGCGTGATGCGAATGTAAATTAGATAACTGAAGCTTTCTTTCGTCAAAAATACATAGTTCAATATCATTTGATTACAGATTAAGAGACACCGTAGCGTGCCAGCTTTGCTGCATCTTAGCGACCCATGTCCCATATCCACGCCCAAAGTCCCGCTAAAACCTTCAACGCACATATCCGCGCGCGCACATTAATTAGTTTCTCAATTAAATTACTAGTACCTAACACACCTCATTCACGTATAAGAAAGTGCTGGCGACTGATGCTCCCACACCGCGGCAGCGATGTTTCCCCATAGACGGGCGTACCGTCCCTTCCGTCCCTTCCGTCCGGTGACATCGTATGTCTTCATTATCTGTCCCGCCTTACATCAACGTTACGGGCTGCCCTTCCCCTGCATGCACGAACAAGCAGGCACACACGGACATAGTGGATTGGATGTGCTTTTGTGCATGAGATGTATTTTTGTAACAGGAATGTTTGACTTGAGTGTCATGATTAAAAAACTTTTCCTCAGGACTATATGTAATTAATGTTTATGTTTTTCGGAGTTGTTCAAGAGGATAAGTACAAATATTACATTTATTCAGATATTTCGGTACCTACTCGTTGTGGTACCTTCATCGGTGAAATGGCGCACAAAGTTTCGGTTCGTAGTTCGACAATCACATACAATACAAAACACGCGACAACGTCATCTAAAAACCTACACTTTAAATATGCCTGAGAAGACCTAATTACCTAAACATAATTTAGCATCAAGCATATTACAGGCAATCCAAGGCCGTATAACAGGCAATCTACCAGATGTTGGTGACTTTTTTTTTATAATAAAACTACAACTGTTGGGGACAAACTTGTAATGTAAGGTTCACAATGGGCGTAATTGTAGGACAAAAATGAAGGTACCACAACGAGTAAGGTACCACAACGAGTACCGAAATATCTGAATAAATGTAATATTTGTACTTATCCTCTTGAACAACTCCGAAAAACATAAACATTAATTACACAAGAATGTTTCTTTATTCTGCAAATGTGAGACTGCGGTGCTTACCCATTTTGGCGGAATTATTAATCGTTGTTTTCTGTACTTCGCTTGATATGTGCAATGCTTAGCAGGAGAAATACGATCCTTCTATACAGATCATTATAAAAATAAGAGATAAAAAGAACAACTAGAGTTCCAAAACAAGTTTTGTTCTATCACATGTATTCCAACAAAACATCAGATTCTTTGCGTGAGCATCTCGAGTAATCCGTATACCCTGTTTCACGGCAGTGATTCTACGGAGTGTGAGATATTACATATGCGCTGCGCTACACATTGATTCCAGCAGCTACAGCGTTGCAGTGACCCGAGCGATCCGGACTCGGATTCTTGGATTCCAGGAGCGGGTTTACATTCGGCACACAGTCACTTGGTGCTATACACCGCTTTTATAAAGTGGAAATGTTGGAAACGTACAAATGTCCATTGTAAAAATTACTACCGCAGTACAAATGCTATTACCGATTTTCTAAGCTAGTTACGAAAAAGCAAAAATGCCTTCTTGCTGATGAATGCGCTCCCATTCACTTTTAGCATCCATACAGCATAGTTGACGTATGCATCTTACAACAATGCCACCGTTCTAAGCATTTAACAGCATATGAGTCACTGGTTACTTGCCAGCAAACAAGTGAATGGTCAAAACGACCTGTTTTTAATGAATCGCAATGACACAATTATAGGTATGCAATTAAGTCCAGCTAAAATAAAGAACAGACCATGGGCATGGATGTCATGAATCTTACCATCAATGTTAGCTAAATTACTTTATTATATAAACTTTATCACTTATCGTATAAAAGTTACGTATAGTTTAATTTATGCATTACAATTAATTATGTCACCGTCGTATAGGATACGTAGGTAAGTGGTTTTGATTTCGTAGTAAATTTAGGACACCCAGTCCTCAGTGTCATTCATTTGCTATTTTTTAATTTAATGTTGTTTTTGGTACTAAAAAGAAGACGGGATGACATATGTAGACTAGCACAAGACACGAAGCAAATGCTAAGTAGCCAGTCACTCCAGTGCTGTCTGCTTTCAATCGCACAATTCACTAATTTGATTAATTTCTAACCCATCAGGCTATACAGTTATACAGTCATAGATGTATTCCAAACGTCTCGATCACTACGACTTAATTCAAAATACTACAGACTTATGTATCAAAACTCGCTATGTCTATTGTCTAAGGCCATCATTGAATGCCCATGATCGCTGTACTTCACGATGTGACCGTTTTCAAGACGTCCTCCTAGCCACTCCGCTGGTCCACCAAACTTAAAAAGTTGAACAGTCATTCTGTCAAAAACCTACGTCACCAAACGTCCCTCAAGAGTCAGTACAGTTTCTTCATCATTCAGAGAGTCTAGGTCTCCAATCCTAGGACAGCATGAAGCTGAGCTGTCCCTCACTGATGGCCAGGGTCAGCTGTCGGCGCGTAACCTCGACACTCGAGTACTCGGGCAGCTTCAGGTAGTTGACGCAGGTCATCACCGAAGGGAGGTAGGTGTCGGGGCTGTGACCCGGCTCCACGGCCTTCCGGACGACCGTCAGAGGCGGCGTCAGCGCACGGAACCCTGGGGGAAGGAGGTGTGTCAGAGGCGGTACCAGCGCTCGGAAACCTGGGGGGAAGGAGGTGTGTCAGAGGCGGCGGCAGTGCACGGAGCCCTGGGGGAAGGGAGAAAGTGTGGCAGAGGTGGCGTCAGCAAACGCAATCTTAAGGAGGCGTGTTACACATATCGCCTGAGTACAGCACAACAGAAAGCTAGCTGTATCCGTGGGTAGATATGGGCTACCCCGGAAATAGCCTGTACCTGCAATCCGTTCGTATTTCACCTAGCTGGAGCACTAAATGTTCAGCTGAATGGTTTTAGGAAGATTAATACCGTCGCGGGCGTCGCTGATCCTCGTCACACACGCAGCGCTGATAGATGGGCCGCTGATCGAGTGTTCGCTAACATGAAAGGTCAAACTCAACATGACCTGAAAGAGTGCAGGACGCAGGTAGCAGGAATGACCAAATGAAACAGTCCCGGTTCTGTTATAAAAGGGTCGGTATTCCATACGTTCCGTAATCATTTTGCGGAAGAGAAATATCTTCCATTGCAAGACGAAGACGAGTAGCGATAAATGAATTGCTTTGTTTGTTAAAATAAAAAAGTGCCTGCATAATTTGTTCAGATAAGTCGACAAGAAGTAAATGCATTAAAAGGGCTAATATAAAAATAGTGGAAATATGTCAAGCCCTAACCGTATTCAGCGATCGTTTATTAAATGTTGAAGATTTTAAGACCCACCCCACTCTCCCTCTCTCCCTAGCCCTTCCTCTGACCTCCGACGGGCAGCCGCGGCGACCCGGTGGCGAAGCTGAGGAACTGCCGCCTCTGACGGGGGTCCAGCTCCGACAGAACCGTCACCAGGTGCCGGAACGGGGCCGAGTCGGCAGTGTAGCCGTGGTCAGGACGGAACGCCTCGGCGAGCGACTGGCGGTCCCACAGTGCGTCCTAAGGAAACAGACAGACAATGCCAGGATCAGACAAAGTTCTCTCCTCGGCAAGCGACTGACATTCCCATAGTGCGTCCTAAGGGAACAAACGGATAGAAACAGGTTCATTGTAGTGTCAACTTCAGCGTCAGACATTCACCATCCGACCTCGGCTAGGGTCTGCAGGTTCCATTGCTTGTCTTGGATGATACGTTAGGCAGTAAACTGATCAGTAACATACCGGTGTCGACCCAGACATCATAAAACTTTCACGGAATGAGAAGCGTGAAATTTACAATTAGAGGATGCACGTCTATGCATATGCGTACCTACCTGAGTACCGCAGAACAGCTGATCCAGCTCCTCCGGTTGAAACATGGCCAGATTGTCCAGCGGCGCTACCGATTCGAATCCTTCTCTGAACGCCTCCATCTGCTTATGAACGCCCTCGATCAGGATCCAGTGGGTCAGCAGCTGTGGGAAAACGAACAGCGCGGTCAGTAACTGATAAATACCGTGAGTCGTGACATTTCATTATTGTCAAATAAGACCAAGCATGGCATGTCACCGAAGAAAGGATTATAAAATATTATATCGATAAGGAACCACAGGCAGACTGAAACTTCCGAACAACATGCTAAAATTGTACGGGTAACACCGAACAATATTTCCGAATATGAGCCGGAGTCTGTGTCCATATTTAGCCAGACTTTGTGGAACCTCTGGGTGTTGATAGCAGTTCATACATGTGTCCCACCTTGACATACTGCTCCAGGTTGGCGGCAGTGACCGGCTCGGCCCGTCCTCCCCTCCTCAGCTCAATGTCCGGGTACCCGGGCAGCGTAAAGTCCAGTCCCAGCTGCTCCACCGCACACCCGTCCACGGTGAGCGCGGCCAGCGCGGCGCGCCGCTGCTCGTCACTGAGCGCCGCGTCCGTCTCCAGCGCGCGGCGGCGGCGCGCCGCGTTGGCCAGCCGCGCCACGGACGTCGCCAGCGTGCCGTCCAGCTGGTGCAGGTCGGTGAGGGACATGGTGCGCTCCCGGCGCAGCAGCCACTGGTAGAACGGCACCGAGAGCGACATGTCCAGTAGACGACCGTCGGCCAGAGCCTTGGCCATCAGACGACCTGGAGGGTGCAGAGGTCAGCGGAGGTCAACTCAGGACAGGGAGAGATCAGCATCACTACAGTCAATGTTAACATGTCAACATAAATGACACAGGTCCATTGAAAGATTATCAAAAGACAAATAGTGTGAAGCAGTAGGTACAGCGGTGGATGATCATCATTTTAGATAACCATACCGAGGAATGTGAATTTCGTCCTGAGCCGTGTGACAGAGGTGTTCTTCTCCGTTCGTCCGATCGGCGCCGGATACAGTCCGTGCGGAGCGAACACGTACTCCGGCCCTGCCGGCCCGGCGGCTGTGGCAGGGGCCGGTACCGGGGCGCCCTCAGACCTTCCTGATGATTCCGCCGTGTGAGCAGTGCGCTGGTCTCTGCGCCACAGGCCGAGCTCAACTCGCTGCAACGGCCAAAGGAAACAGTGGAATGTTGACAGAGTCGCAGATAGAGCAGGCGCTAAGTAACCACACTAATGCGCTCCGTCAGCATTGGAAAGCGGAGAAATGAGATACCGGGCGGGCGGTGCGCAGTATTGCACTCGGAGCACTTGTTTGTCAGTACTCTATCGTACCCAGGTGTAATTTCGTTCAACAAATCGATATCTATTTTGACTTTTGAGACAGTTGCACCGTGCTTGAAAATATTCGACTTATTGGCTACGTAACAGAATTAATTGCAAATGCAATTATTAGATATGAAAGCAGTTAACTGAGAGGCTAGGTCTCTCCAGCGGAAAACGACACCGTCCGGCCTCACCTGCACATCGGAGCAGACCTGCGCGTAAAACTCCAGCGTGGGTCCCAGTCCGGAGCCGGGCTCGTCGCGGTACTGGAGTTCCAGCAGCGCCGGCGAGCCGGCCAGCTCTGAGAGTAGCGTCTCGGCCTGTCGGGCCGGCTGGCGGCGGCTGACAGTGCGCCGGCGCCGCTCCAGCCGCGGGGCCAGCCGCCGCTCGGAGCCGGAGCCGGCCGCAGACGGCACCACCTCCAGGAGGCGGCTCAGAGCCCGGTCCCGCTCGAACGTGGCCGAGAAGAACAGCTGGCGCCGCACCGCGAACGGAAACAGGAACGGGCTGACGGCACAGCAGCCATGCCGGTGAGATCGTCACTGGCTCTTGAGGGACGCAATAGCAGCGAAACTGACAGCCGAATTTATTCTAGATTGTGTAGCTCGAAATCCGCAGGCCTGCTTTATAAGAAAGAACAGGACCCCACAGAAAGGCTCGAGAGGCCATGAAGTTTATCTACTCTGACCACTTACCAAGTCAGTCCCAGCTGGAGAATCCAGGGTGGTGTGCTTCCCGCCATCAGAATCAGCGGGTCAAACAGCTGCCGCTCAGCCTTGGCAGTCAGCTGAGCGTTTACAAACACCTGAAGGCAAGCGTGATATCAGCATGTGCATACATCGTTCAGTGAGGAGCGCTGCTTAGTCGGCAGTACTGCAAAATAGGCCATTATAAAACAAAGACAAAGGACTGTTAGGTGTTTGGTCAAGTCAATTTTTGATTGGTTTACGCAAACTGCAAAGCGGTACGTCTTATGATGCTGTCTGATCACGAGGCTCCGACGGCAGGACCTCGGCGATCCCTTATCATAATTATCATGGACCATGGTCATAATTTAACCACGACCGACCTGATCGCCGAGCAGCGGCGGGCTGGCCACCAGCTGGTAGAGGCCGCCGTAGTGGCGACTCAGGCAGTGCAGCAGGCGGAGGAGGTTGACGGTCGCCAGGCTCGGGTCGGCCACGGTGACCGACTCTGGAAGCTGTGGTTTCAGACCGGTCACCAGAGGGCAGTCGGGGACGGGCGCTGAGCCGGTGGCCCAGAGCGACTCGCCGCCGGACGCCGGACGGGTCTCCTGGCGCCGGCTGCTGCTGGAGGTTCCACCGTTACTGATGGAGATCGGAGCCTGTCTGGAAACGCACGAAGCACGCAGGGATGATAAACAAACGTTTAGGGATAGCGATGAGCTCGTGTTTAATCGATGCAGCGGCGCAGTTTTCAATATGCGCAATTCTGCCGCCTGTGCGTCTGATGGCGTCTGCATTCGCATGCTGAAAACTGCTTTCCCATCTATAGGTGACGTTATCCTTCACATCATTAACACCTGCATCTCAAGGTCCGATATCCCCTTTCATTGGAAACACTCTATAGTTCACCCCATCTTCAAGTCTGGAAACCCATCTGATCCCACTAATTTTCGACCTATCTCCTTAGTACCTGTCATTATGAAGGTGGTCGAGCGAGTCATTCACAAACAGCTCTATCGCTATCTCTCCCAAAACCATCTTCTGGCCAATACCCAGCACGGTTTCCGACCCCGGCACTCATCTGAGACAGCACTTCTGTCCGTCAGTGACCAAATCCTGGCCGCCACCGATAGGGGGGATGTCTCTATGCTATGCCTTATTGATTTAAGCAAATGTTTTGATGTCATCAACCATGAGTTATTACTCGCTAAATTGGCAATGCACGGCATAGAGACATCCTGGTTCGCCGCTTATCTCTAGGGTCACACACAGAGTGTGTCATTGAAGGACGAGTCCGGTCGCCGGGTATTATCACAACCTCTCCCCAACTCTATGGGCGTCTTTCAAGGCTCGGCACTTGGTCCCTTACTCTTCACGGTATTTTCCAATGATCTATCACTTTATTCTGAGGATGCAGCAGTCTTCCAGTACGCTGATGATACTCAATTGTTGGTGAGTGGCCCTTTAAACGACCTTAGGGGACTCATCTCGCGCTTGGAAGCGTCACTGGCGTCTCTCGACCATTGGTTCAGTGCAAATGCTCTAAAAGTACACACTGCTAAAACTCAGCTCATGGCTTTCGGCAGTCGGCAAAATTTGAGAAGCATACCTGCTTTCACCTTTTCTTTTCGCGACACCAAACTAGTGCCATGCAAGCAGGTGGGCAACCTGGGCGTTATCTTCGACGGCACCCTGTCCTGGGACGCGCATGTGTCCGAGCTCAGTCGCCGGTGCACGGGTCTCCTAATTGGCCTCTCCCATGTCCGCCACTATCTCCCCGACGGTATCACCAAGACACTAGTGGTGGCTCTCGTCATGTCACGGATCCAGTACTGTCTCTCCGTATTCGGTAATGGTAGCCAAAAGAACTTCGATCGCATTCAGAAAATTCTTAACTTTGCCGCTAGAGTCATTTTCGGTCGCCTTAAATTTGATCATGTCTCCCATCTCCGGGACCAACTCGGCTGGATGGCACCTAAAACAATGGCTGAATACCATACCCTTATCACGGCGCACAAGGCCATCCAGAGAGGTGAACCCGAGGAGATTGCGACCCTATTTTCCAAAAATTCCCAAACACGAGCAAGGTCTACTCGCCAAGACCACCTCTACCACTTACCGCGACCCCGACTAGAGACCGGAAAACGTAGATTCGCCTACCGTGCCGCGGCGCTCCTAAATACTCTCCCCCTCGAGCTAACGCAGTTGCCTCCAGCCAGATTTGCCCGTGCTGTAAAAAAAGGAGCTTAAGCCTAGCCAGAGTAGCCATAGTAGCTAGCCTCATGACTCTTGGACTATGAAAGGCAAACGAGTCTGTGTGTATAGTTATGAACGCGGCTTCGTGCGGGTTACACCAAGTATGTGCGTGTTCGGCGTTCGCGTTGTGCATTTTCGTATCCGTAAGTGTGTGCGTTTTCTTGTATAGGTATTTCTCGTGTTATCTTCAACCAGCTCGGACTCGGAGTGTAATCGCCACGCCGATTGTGGATTGCTCTTGATCGTCAATACATACATACATACATAGCACCCTGCATCCAGCTAATAGTGAAAACAAAGAAATGTCAATGGCAGAAAGAGACATGTGCTGCATCAAAATTAGGCTCACACAAACAGAAGCCCAGACTCTGCGCACCTGTAGTAGATGGTGTGCGTCTTCTGGAAGAGCTGCGAGGCGCTCACGTCCCCGTCCTCGTCCTGAGAGCGCGGTCCGTACTGCTCCACCGCCTGGAAGACGGTGATGTCGTAGGGCAGCGGTCGGCCGCCCATCAGGAACTGCAGACGGTGCGTCCCGCTGTGGCTGAGGCTGGCCGCCACCTGGTGAAACGCACATATGGAGAAGCGTCAGAACTTGAGTACGGAACAGGGTCAAATTGAAACAATCGGCCGATGTAGCAGACGACCGAAGTCGTCGTTTTAAGTGCTTGTCACATTCCCAGTATGTCGCATTAAAAGCTATACTATTTTACTTCTGCCAGCATCACTCAACTCTGTCAATGGCAGCAAAAACGTCCCCAAGGTAACAACGGTTCATTGTGAGGCATACAGGTCCGGTCCAGGGCCGTCTCTTCCAACGCCCCCTGGCGCTCGATCGTTCAGCGAACCGACTAAGCCCACCACCCACTCAGGGCGTCATCAGTCAACTCACCAAAGCGTCCTCGACGTCCTCGTCCGAGCCACTATCGTCCGACCAGCGGCCGGTGCGGGACGAGCTGCGCCCGTAGCCGCGGATCACCAGGTAACGCTCGATGGCCTGCAGCGGGGCCAGCGGATCCACCTTGACGGGCCCGTGACGCCACTGGCGCAGAGCGCCGCCGTCCGGCGCGCGGCGCAGCTCCACCTGCCAACGGGAGGGTGTGATGAACTAAGGACAAAAAGAACACTGCACTCATGATTCGTGATTTATGTTTGTAGGTTTTCATTTCGGCCGAATTTGGCATGACGTAACTGAAACGTTAGTCTTGCATTGCCACCTACCTTGAGCTGATGCTCGGTGAAGTAGCGCAGCGCTCCGTGGCCAGACACTCCGTCAGTGACATCGTACGACTTTACCGGCAGCTGCTCCTGCTGGGCCACGCAGGCGTTCAGCTTGGTCACCAGCGCCGCCAGCGGGGCGGCCTTCTCCGCCGAGGGCACCCACGCCTGCTGCGGCCGGTCCGCCGCCGGCGCTCCGGCCAGCGCGTGCAGGAAGGCGCGCAGGCGGTGTCGGCGCGCGCCGGCCGGCCCGGCGGTCAGCAGCTCGGTCAGCCGCGGCACCAGGCCCGCCTGGAGCAGCTCGAACGGCGACAGATCGGCGGCCAGCAGCAGGGCGGCCAGCTGCCGCAGCGGGTCGGCCAGGCCGCGGTCCGGCGCCGCCGCCAGCTGCCGCAGCGCGCTCTCCAGCAGCGCCAGAGCGGCGCAGTGGCCGCCGGCCGCCGTGGCCAGGTGCCGCTCCAGGAACAGACGCGCCTGCCGCCGCAGCCAGCTGCGCGCCCGCTCCTCCCGCGCCGCGCCGGCCTCCTGTGACCGGACGGAGTGGGGGTGAGTTAGACACAATGATTTGAGCTTTAATTTAATTTTCAATAGCTAAATGTAGCAAGATAAGACGGAGTCTTAGCAACTTAAGCGTAAATCAACTTCAGAACTGTGGCGTATTGTAATGTGTAGTGTCCTGAGACGTGCTGTCATCTAACGGCAGAAAAGCGAACTCGTGGTTGATGGCAAGTGAGGGCGCGGCAGCCAGACGGTTGTAGAGTTGCAGTTAGACACCCGAGCTAGGGTTGGTCAGTACTGTATATCTGACTATCTGACATTACTGAATACATATCATCGTCTTACGTTATCTGATATCTTAAGAACGTTACATGGTGTCAGAAGTTAACGTAACACAAAGGTGCCGACGATGCTGTCGAATCTTCGCCCACCGGCAGAGCTCGAGATTTCATCACCGCAATTAGCAACAAGATGGCGGACCTGGCGGCGTGAATGGGAGAATTACGCTGTGGCTGTCGAACTCGCTGGCAAGCCCCAGGCCGTCCAAGTGGCCGTTTTTCTCAACTGTGCAGGTGGTGAAGCACAAGAAGTCGCCTCTCATTTCTCTGGGTGGTCTGCAGAACAAGGGTTGGATGAGCTAGTGTCACGCTTCGAGGCGTTCTGTGTGCCCCGCCAGAATGTTGTCCGTGAACGGTACAATTTCTACACTCGCGGTCAGAAGCCAGACGAGTCGGTCAGCCAATATCTATCGGCCCTTCGATCTCTGGCAGCAACGTGTGATTTCCCAGACGGGGACAACATGCTAAGAGACAGAATATGCATCGGCCTCCGTGACCAGAAAATACAAGCAGCGCTGCTGAAGCGAGCTGATTTGACCCTTCAGATGGCAATCGACATAGCGCTATCCGAAGAAGCCGCCAATCGTGATCTCAAGGTGTTTGGAACTGAGTCCCACAGTGAGCAAACAGACAACTTGGCCGCCGTCTCTGGACACAACCGGTCCCAACCGACCCGCAAGTGCAAGTTCTGCGGCCGTGATCACCCAATGGTTCGATCTCGCTGCCCTGCATGGGGCAAAGCCTGCCTCGTCTGCGGGCAGGCCAACCATTTCGCATGCAGTACTATCTGCGGCTCCCGGCGTCCCCCGCCCGGCTCTGGCGGGCGCGGACCAGTTCGCCAGCCAGCGGCCCGGCCGCTGTCTCTCGCCGCCACCGTGGGCGCCGCCGCCGCCGGCCGCGATCAGCTGACTGCGACTCCGCCAGCCGGCCGCGATCAGCTGACTGCGACTCCGCCAGCCGGCCAGCGCCGCGACCCGCCTCCCGGCGCGTCAGGTGCACATCAACATGAGCACTGGGACGTTTTGTCGACAGCTGGCCATTCCGGTGAGACACCCACAAAAGCACACAAAACTTTGACCGCCTCGGGAAAATCGGTAACGTTTCTGATAGATTCCGGCTCCGAGTGTGACGTGTTGACATGGACAGACTACGTGCGTATCACGGACGATCCACAGGGCGCATGTTTGAGACCGTGCCATACCGTTCTGCGCATGTATGACGGCGCTCTCGTGTCATGTGAGGGGAAACGGTCCCTGTGCTTTACTAATCCCGTGTCTCGGAGTAGGCACATCCTTCAGTGTAAAGTTGTGAACAGTGCTATCTCTTCCATACTGAGCCTGAACACGTCAGTCCAGCTGGGCCTGATTGACGTCCGCGACTGTGACCCACTGGACTATGTCCCTGCCCCGCCCCCGCCGGCCGTGACCCCAGGGGGTGACCTCGCTACCGAACCGGGTCATGGCCCTCCCGGAGCTCGTCCCTCGCCCGGGCCACCGCGGTCGGGGTGTGTGACTGACGGTCAGTCGCGCATCAAAGCTGAGTATCATGACGTGTTTGACAAAAGTAGCGTGGGACTTGTGGCGGACAACTATGAAATTGTGACAGATCCGTCCGCTATCCCGGTAGTGGAAGCTCCCCGCAGAGTGAGAGTGCACGTGCGTGAGAAACTTAAGAAAAAACTGGACGATCTCGAGACGCTAGGCGTCATTTCTCACATCACTGAGCCAACTGACTGGGTCTCAAATCCTGTGATAGTGGATAAACCGAACGGGGATATTCGCCTATGCATAGACCCCCGTTTCCTAAATCGAGCTGTGAGGAGAGAACACTATCCCACACCCACTGTGGACGAGGTAACCGCCCGGCTCACGGGAGCCAAAGTATTCAGTCTCGTGGATGCATCCTGTGCATTTTGGCAGATTGGGCTATCAGCTAGGTCGGCGCGCCTGTGCTGCTTCCACACGCCATTTGGACGCTATATCTGGAACAGGCTGCCATATGGCGTGAAGTGCAGCTCCGAAATTTGGCAGAGAATGATGCATGAGCTCATCAGGGGTCTTGAGGGTGTGGAGGTCATAGCTGATGATTTTGTAGTTTTTGGTCGCGGCAACACGCGTGCGCAGGCCGAACAGGATCATGACCGCAATCTAGCGGCATTTCTAGCCAGGGCACGTGAGAGGAACCTTCGTCTGAACCCGGATAAATTCAGGTACAAAGTGACAGAACTGAAATGGATGGGTCACGTCCTGTCGGCTGACGGCTTGAAACCAGACCCAGCTAAAGTGTCTGCGGTGCGTGACTATCCGCCCCCCACGGATGTGCCCAGTCTCAAACGCTTCCTGGGGATGGTCAGTTTTTTGGCCCGCTACATCCCCAACCTGTCACAGACTGTATCACCTCTCCGTCAGCTCACACAGGCCAGCTTCGACTGGTACTGGAGCCCCCAGTGTGAGACAGCATTCAAAACCATTCAGCAGCTGCTTACAACAGCGCCAGTGCTCAAATACTATGACCCACATGACGAGGCTACAGTGCAGTGCGATGCATCGAGCCATGGCCTCGGCGCTGTCCTTCTGCAGCGGGGAAACCCAGTCATGTACTGCTCGCGCTCCCTTACGGTAGCGGAGCGAGCCTACTCGCAAATTGAGAAGGAGCTATTGGCCATTACTTTTGCGCTCACTCGCCTGGACCAATATCTGTACGGTAGGCCAGTGACAGTCGAGACTGACCATAAGCCATTGGTCGCGATACACAACAAACCACTCAGTGACGCACCACTTCGCTTGCAGAGAATGCTTCTCACACTGCAGAGGTACAACTTTCACATTGTGTACCGACCAGGATCAGAGATTCCTGTTGCTGATGCGCTTAGTCGTGCTCCAACTCAGCAACCATCCTCACTGTTCGCAATGGAGACCGAATCCCTAGAGTTGTCCAGTGGGATCGCGGTGTCTCCAGAGCGTCTAGAAGCCATACGGGCCGCGTATCAGTCGGATCTGGTCCTCCCACGGGTCGTCAAACAGGTACTGGCAGGGTGGCCGAAGCATCGGCGCCAGTTGCCAGACGCACTCCGGCCGTATCATGGCTTTCATGACGAACTTTTCACACAGGACGGACTGCTGTACAAAGGCAGGTGTGTGGTCATTCCCAGCGCTCTTCAGCAGGACCTTATCTCGCGCCTGCACCGTACTCATATTGGTTTGTCATCGATACTGCGACTTGCTCGGCAGAACGTGTTTTGGATCGGAATGACCAGCCAGCTAAAAGAAGCGATTCTGAAGTGCCCAACCTGCCTAGCCCATCGCCCGGCTCAGACGGCCGAGCCGCTATTGTCGCATGAGGTCCCCTCCCGTCCATGGGCGAAACTGGGAACGGACATTTTTGAACTTAATGGGTCAATGTACCTCGTGCTGGTAGATTATTACTCCAACTTCATGGAGATTGACCGCCTGACTCGGACTACTGTGACACATGTGACCTCAGCTCTAGCGACCCAGTTCGCTCGCTATGGCATTCCAGAAACGCTGGTTAGTGACAACGGCCCACCGTTCAGCAGCTGTGAGTTCAAAGCATTTCTGCGTTCGCTGGATATTGATCATGTTACCTCCAGCCCAGGCTATCCGCAGTCGAATGGCAAGGCTGAGAACGCCGTGAAAACGGCGAAGAGTTTAATGCGTAAGGCTATCGCCTCCGGTGAAAACTTCCTTTGGGCGCTGATGACGTGGCGTAATTCGCCCAGTGAAGGGTCAGACATGTCGCCGGCACAGAAAATGTTTGGACGTGCCTGTCGGACGTTTTTGCCTACTCCCAGGTCAAACTTGCTTCCCGCGTACCCGACTCCTCTCCCGAGTGTTCTCGCTGACAATAAACTGCGCCAGGCGAAATATTACAATCGTCGGACGCAGCCCCTGACCCCTCTGGTCGTGGGTCAGCCCATTCGGATGCGCCTCCCTGGACAGCGCACATGGACCCCTGGCGTCTGTACAGGAATAGCTGGGCCGCGATCTTACTGGGTGCGCGTGAATGAAGTGACCTATCGTCGCAACCGCCGCCAGTTGTTAGCCACCAATGACCCTCTGCCTGTACAGAGTGATCACTCGGACCCAGACCTGCTCGGTCCGCCACGGGAACCCACCGCGTTACCAGAGCCGCCTCAGACTCCTCCCGTCGCCACCGGCACGGGCGTGCGCCCGCTCGTCGTCCCGCCCGTGCCTCCTGGCGAACCGTGGATGGATGTGCCGTCATCTCCTCCGCTCCCGCCGTCCCCCGTCCATGCGCCTTACGCACCACTGACCGGGGCAGGCTCACCGCCGGTCATAAGTCGCCGTCCCCAGCGCGAAAGGCGCCCGCCCGCCTATCTGTCCGATTACGTTAGATGAATCACTGTTCGCGTCAGTTCAGTTCGTGTTCACTGTTCTTGTCAGTTCGTGTCAATGCATGCTGGATGTGGCTGCATACTTATCAGCAAACGGTAGAATGACCAAGCGTCATGAGAGGTATGCAATGTAAATATTTTGTTGTGCTTTATACTGTTTTGCGATTACCAGTTGTGTTACAGTGCTCAGTCCTTCAGTGCCGCGGTATAGCTTCGTCGCACAGTAGCTTTGCGTAGCATTTGATGTGGTGCATTGCACATGTGTGTTCGTGTACGGACACCAGCATGTCCGTGATCTCGATATCTCATTGTCGCAGGAGAAGGGATGTGGCGTATTGTAATGTGTAGTGTCCTGAGACGTGCTGTCATCTAACGGCAGAAAAGCGAACTCGTGGTTGATGGCAAGTGAGGGCGCGGCAGCCAGACGGTTGTAGAGTTAGACACCCGAGCTAGGGTTGGTCAGTACTGTATATCTGACTATCTGACATTACTGAATACATATCATCGTCTTACGTTATCTGATATCTTAAGAACGTTACAAGAACCACCGTAACTAATAATGATAATTGAGTTTCAGTGGCTGACTCACGGTGAGTGAGTTTCGGTGAGATCCGTGCGGTGAGCTGGAACTGGCGCGGCCCCACCGAGCCGGACTCAGACTGGCCAGGAGGGAGGTCTGCAGACGACTGGGTGCCCCGGCTCCGCCGACCGACCGACTGCGGCCTCCGGCGGCCAGCGCGCGGGCCGCACCCCCTGTAACGGAGCGCAGGGCATGGTCAATAACGCAATAACGTAATGTACCTACCTGGTGCTATTACCAGTGACACCTTGCTAGTGTTCAGTTTCCGACTGATGCGCATGATGCAATCTATGCGTTAGCGGTTGCCGGTTAGGCGGCGTTGGCCGTTGAAGCCAGATGAGTATGCCGCCGACTGTTCCGCACGACACCAGAGTATTGCGGCACAGCATCAGAGACTTCAACTACCGGGCCGGGGCGGCGCCAGCTGCAGGCGGCGGATACCGACTCGGTATTGGAGCTCTACCGTCGCTGCGTGGAGTTGGTCAGTTACAAGATTCATGTTCTTAATGCCAGGAAATGTGCTTAACGGGTTTATGAGCATTTTTGTTAAAGTATTGAGTATATTGACGGGATCGTTTACCTGTATGTGACGGAGATGCGGACGCGGAGCCGGCGGTCGTCTGGTCCAGGCTGTGTCTCTGACAGCCGAGGGCTCCCCGTCGGGAAGATCTCCTCCTCTTCAGTGCGTCCCTGAGACTCCTGGCACAAAGCACAGACAGGGATGGGGTTCACTTTGCATTTACCAAACAGAACATGAAGCAAACGAGTCACGAGACGGGAAGTCATAATGCACATATATCACAAAATGAATCAGTGAGACAGTGACACGTAACATTTATTTGTCTTATTTCTGAGTACCGGGGACAGTCAGGCAGTCAGACAGGCCGTCGCTCACTCACAGGTCAGCAGTGGTGTCAGCAGTCTGGCCGTTCCCCTTCGGGTCTGTCTCGTCCAGAGGGTCGCCGTCCACAGCCAGACGACTGATGTGGTGAAGCACGCCTGAAATAAAACGATCTCGTTATCAAACACCGCACACAGCACCAGAGTGTGTCTGTGGAACACGGCAGCGAGCTCGTTACACTCTTGAGTAAAACCAAAAATGGATATTTACCATGCCGTTTATTAGACAAAATAAGGTTAGCAAGACAGCTCTATGATAGGAACTTCAATGAAGTCTGCTACGAGCCTCAGGATCGCACATATCTATGCTCATCTGCTCCCTCACCTTCGCGTCTGAAGTGGCTGGTACAGAGATCGGGCAGCTTCTGCATCAGCGTCTCTGCCAGCTGCAGCGCCGGCACGGCCAGCTTCACGTCCGGCGAGGGCAGCAGACTGGCCAGCTGCACCGACAGCTCCTGCATGTTCAGCACGCCCTGCAGACGGGACGCGCAGCGAGTGGTCAGAGGCAAGATTACTCAGAGGGGCGCCGGACGTCTTAAGACTGCAAATGCGATCGCCTGTTTTCATGAGCGTTCAATATAAATGCAAGCTTGCACTAACTATAAAACTACAGCGCATAAGAAAAGATAACAATTGGATATATTTACGAAACGCGATAAAGTTCAGCTAATCCTTTGAAGCAAGATGTGCCCCTATATTTAACCCGCGCCGTGCTGGTGGCCTGAACTTTCCGCCGAGTGCTGGGGGGGGGGCGTTTTCACGCCCCCCCGTCTAACTCGGCTCCTGGGCCACGTAGCGACACGCGGTAAGCGGCAATCGAAAGAGCGTCAAAAATAAGGACGAAAACACTTCGGTCATTTTTTGGGTCAGGTCAAAGGTCAGGTCACCAGAGGTCACCAAAGGTAAAATGTTGACTATTTCAACATTTTGGAAACTGCCAACGGCTATCTCGGGAACCGATAGAGCTACAGCGCCGCGGAAAAGCGCATTCGATAGCCCTTTTACAGACCTTTCTGAGTAATGTTCTCAGATTTGACCTCAGGTCAACGGTTTAGCCTCCAGAGGGCAAAAACTCCAAAAATAGCCGTTTTTACGAAAAACGTTTTTTCGTCAATAACTTTTGATTCATAAGCGCCATGACATTACTTTTGCCAGCATCGTGTTCCTCTCGTCGAGACGCGTCGAATGAACTATTTGTTGACCTTGAAAGGTCATTTTGAAAATTTGACCTCAGGTCAAGGTCATGACCTGACCGAAAAGGGTCATGTTGCATATCAGTCGATCCGTATCGTCGAGCTGAACACATCTGACGTGTTTTCACCGCTCTAGCACGTCTCTATCAAAAGTTATAGCCAAAAAACTGCTGGCGACCGTTCATGACCTGAGATGACCTCAGGGGCACACAGAGGGGTCACAGGTGCATTTTTCCTATTCAGTGTGTCATGTTTACCTATGAACCGATGTTTGAGAGCGTTTTGAACGATATTCGTCCAAAAGAGGCGCATTTCAATTTTCTCCCATTGACTTATAATGGAGAGGTCGCAAAATTGACCTGACCTTAGGTCACAGATATCAAAAATCCGAGATATACATTTTATACATACTGTTACTCATATCAATCGCTGAAAGTTTCAAAGTGATCGTTCAGTCGGTGTAGCTATAGCGAGCCTTTGAACTTTTTCTGAGGTAAGGTCACTTGACGTGACCTGGTGACCTGACCTTGAACGGCCTAGGTCTGAAATTTTCACAACATGTGCGGAAATGATGTAGGAACACGTGTACCAAAAACGGCGGCGCTGCGCGCCGCCGTTTTTGAGATATTCGCGAAAAACCTGAGGGGGGGGGCGTAAAAACGCCCCCCCCCCAGCACGGCGCGGGTTAACCAGACAGTTTGTTTTAGTGCATCATGTCTATATAATATAATTTAGGTATTATATATATACATGTTTCTCTTTGTAGCTTCATCCTGCCAAGCGATCAATACCCGGCCTTTCAAAAACTCTGTTGACGCAATTAAGACCCGTGTTGATCAAATGAAGGATAGCCGATTGGCTCGCTAAACTGGTGGAGTGCGACAGCAGAAAGAACGTGGACGCGCCGAGCCGTCTGACCCAGTTCTGGCTGGTCCGTGGACAAAAACCGATCAGTGTCCGAACACAATTGGGCCACTGGGTCAGACAGATGGCCCACGATCGGCGGACTCTGTTGCACTGTTTGCTGAATTGGTGTCAGCCTGATCAGCTTAATCCTATATCAGGAAGCTGTTCGACAGATAGAATCCATTTGTTATCGATATTGATCAAATGTAGGTAATCATATTACCAAAACGGTAGCATGAATGTTTGAATATGCTTTTGTCTTCAGTGTAATTCTCATTCCCGATCAAGACAGACTGAATAGTCGTACGCTGCAGAATACTACATATTCGCTGGCTTCCTATAGCTGTTTTTTTTTTTCGCTCACCTTCAGTGCCTCTGGCTCTGCGGCGCTAACGCAGCGCAGGGTGGCGCGGAGACAGACATGGCGCACCGCAGTGCCTGGCGCCGCGCCGTAAACGTCGAGCAGCAGCGGCAGCCAGTCGGCCGGTCGGAGCACCGCCGCGCGGGGGTCGGCGGCGGGACGCACACCCCTGGACCCGCCCGGGGCGGCGGACCGGTCCGACTCCGCCTGGGGACAGCCGCGCGTCGTCACAGGGATGGGGACCGATTGAAATCACATCAGACAATTAGATGTAGCTAATAATTGCAAGCTGAACTATGGACTGTGGCAGGTGAAGAGCTAGTATTTTCATTTGTGGCAATGTAGAATGGTAAATGATGCTCCTTTTTACGTTATAGCGGCATGAGAACATCAGCCAATAAATTATTAATTGTGGTTGGTTTATTATTTATTATATTGGAATGACTTATTGTTCGCAGGTTATCCAAACATTTATTTTCGGATGCTAAATGAACGAACCTGAGAATTGGAAGCATCTCCTACTGCGTTTGTGCTCGAAATATCCGAACTATCTCTCCACTGAACGGCTTCCTGAAATATGCGGAAACCACGCATTGGATGTGACCGGCGATAGGGCTTCGCTCAATACGACAGAAAAGGGGTTACTAAAACGAACTTGGCAAGGTTAGAAGTTTCTTAGTATGTTTGCTACGTAATTATTATTGAATGGAAACAAATGTACTTATTACTATTAGGTAAAATAAACTTATTTGTGTCAACCTATTTATACGTACTCTATATTGGTAAGATCCTCATAGAGCATTCTAGCGCTAGTAAATGAAGATGTCACGTATCTTCTGATGAGGAAGTCATTAGTAATGTATTTACAGGTGCAGGTGCCAGTGAGCCCTATATACATGCTCGTCAATTTTCGTAAGCTCAATCAGTGCACATAACTCATGATCGAAAAATAACGATATTGTAAACGGTCACAAATGCACCAAACAAAATGCCTGATAATCGACCCGCGACTCTCACGTGGCGACTCACCCTGTCGTAAGAGCCGGAGCGCCGAACAGAGACACGGCGGGTGAGCAGCTGGTCGACGTCGAACAGGGCCGCGCTGGGCAGCGGCGGCAGCTGTTAGCCACGGTTTGTGATTGCGGATCTTTACGGTTTTCTTTGGTATGTGAGCTACTGCAGTATGCAAGATGGCTTCTGTTAACATTTCAATTGCATCATCGGTGTCGGCATTTGTTATGGCGCTCCAGTCTATGTTTCTCAGTGTATTAATGAAACCGTCAACGTTGGTATTTGAGTAGTCCCAGCGGGTTGTTGTTACATGTCGGTCAGCGTCGATTTTCTGAAGGGACAAAGAAATAAGTAGAGGGAAATGGTCGATGTTTGAGAAAGCCGGTAAAACTCCTGAAGATTTAATTAGTTCGGTTCGGTCTACAAATATCAAATCTCTTAAGTTGTGGGTGTCCCCTTGTACGCGGGTTGCTGTGTTAATAATTTGAGTTAAGTTTGACGCTTCAGTGATATTTTTCAGTTTGTTTTCGAAAGTGGTGATGGGGGAGTGGTTGGGTGAATTACTAGGCAGCCAGCAGTTTCCAGCATTAAAATCGCCAACGAGGACCAGAAGATCGGGACTATGCTGTTTAGCTTCAAGGACACAGTCAGACAAGTAATCTAGGAATTGAGATTGTCGGTCGCTAGTGGTGTTCGGTGGAAGATAAACTGAGCAGAGCAGCAGCGTCGTTTTATGGAATTTGATTTTCACCCATAGGGTTTCAAAGAGCTCACACTCAAGATGTGATATTTGCGAAAAAGGTAGTGTGTCTCTGACATATACTGCAACTCCTCCGCCCTTCCTTGTCCTGTTTTTTAGTAATGGCGCATGAAAACCTTTCAGAGAGTAAAGACTGGAATGTATAGTGGTGTCAAGTTTTGTTTCAGATAGTGCTAGTATGCTAATATCGTTAATGTCAACGTAGCTTTGAAGCTCCTGTAGCCTTTCGTTGGCAGTGATGGAGTTGATATTAATTGCGGAGATGTTAACACCATCGCTTCGGAGCGTACCAGTTACTGGTGGCATTGTGGGCACGGGGAAGGCGCTTCGACTGGCGGCGGGTGGCGAGAGAACAGTTTACATAAAACAATGTGCAATGTGGGCTATGGCTGAACTTTTGGCAAGATGACACTGATTTTGAGAGATGAGCAAGTACATCCGCATACTTTCGTCTCTATGCGTCGAGAAAGCGGAGATGATAGACATTGATAGCTCCGAAACGTTAAAGCATATAAAAAAATGACATACGACGACTGGGCACAGCTATCGTTAACTCGTGCATCGTTGTCAGGTGGGAAATCATATCACACTGAGCACAAGACAATATATGATGGGCAATATGCAATATACACAAGGTCATGTAAGGTGATTTGGTTATGTTTAACACTGGACGCATGTACGGCCGGCGCTGTACGAACCGGCACCGGAAACCCAGCCCCAGCCGGGAGGGCGGGGGGGGGGGTGCCGGCCCGTCTGGGAGATGGGGTGTCACTATTCACAGCGTAGGCCCGGCTCGCCTAACGGTCACCGCTCGGGAATCGTTCCCTGTCGACACGCCCACTGTCAGAGACGGCTAACAGCAGAGCTGAGGCGCGAAATGCGTAAACGAGACCGGTTATTCAAGCTTGCTCAACGTCACAACTCAGAAAGAGATTGGTCGATCTGGCGATCTCAGCGCAACCTTGTAACCAGCCTTAATAGAAAACTCAAAAATGAAACCATTAAACACAAAGTACATCTACTTGTCACTAGCAAGAAAACCCCTTACAAATACCACAAAATCCTGAAAAGCGTTACGGGGTTCAAGCAAAACTCCATTATGGCTCCTCTGATTGTCGAAAATGATCTTGTAAGTGACGACCACCGCAAGGCCGAGGCCCTCAATTCGTACTTTTGTTCCCAGACAGAAATAAACATTACAGATAAACACTTACAGCTCGTACGCGAATACAAATCTTCATATAACAGCACTCAGCACACCTTCCAGTTTTCTCCCATTACACCTCGAGATGTTTTGAAGACCATCAATGGGCTGGATTCGTCTAAAGCCACCGGCTCCGACGGCGTACCGACGAAACTAATCAAAATGTCAGCGGCTTACATTGCTGAGCCTCTATCCAGAATCTTAAACAAATCAGTCCAAAAAGGCAGGTACCCAACTCAGTGGAAGAAAGCCACAGTTAAACCAATTTTTAAAGGGAAGGGCTCCCCATCTGAGGCTGCATCATATCGACCAATAAGCTTACTGCCTTGTCTATCGAAAATATTCGAAAAACTTATGTTCACTCAGATATATGAGCACATTCACAGTCATTCGCTCTTAACACAAAAACAAAGTGGTTATCGCCCTGGTCACAACACAGAGCTCCAGCTTGCTTATCTAACTCACAGGCTATATAGAGCCATGGACTCGGGTGAGGATTACACAATCATTTACCTGGATATATCAAGATATTTCGAAAAGATTTGGCATGAGGGGCTGCTAGCAAAATGTGATAAAGAATTTGGTATAAGAGGTGCACAACTTGATTGGCTAAACTCTTATCTAAGTGACAGGAGACAAGTAGTCCAGCTAGGCCAAACTACGTCCACCCAGCGTGAGTTATCCGCAGGAGTGCCACAGGGATCCATCCTAGGTCCACTGCTGGCCATAATGTATCTAAATGGGCTCAGTAGCGTTACCAACAATGAAATGCTATTTTTTGCGGATGACAGCTCCTTACATGCCAGTCACAATGTTAATAATTTTCATGAAGTTGAAAAATCACTGCAAATCGACTTAAATCGCATCAAACGCTATGGAGACGACTGGATAATAACATTTAATGCTACAAAAACAGTCCAACAAACGCTTAGTAACAAAAAAACACACATTCCGTGCCTGGAATTTGGCGGTTCACCAATTCCCATTCGCGATTCCCACAAACACCTTGGAGTAACAATCTCAACTGATCTGAGATTCAAGTCTCACGTCAACAACATCCTATCAAAATTTTACCGCACGATGAGTCCTCTCTTCCCAATAGCATCTCTACTTCCACGACAAATCTTACTTCAAATCTATCAAATGTATGTCCAGCCCCATCTCGACTACTGCGACTCAATATTTGATTGCCATCTGACAGCATTTGACAAGTCCCGACTAGAGAAAGCACAGAACAGGGCGGCACGCCTTATCACTGACACACCTCGAAGGACGTCTACAGCGGGCCTCCGGAAAGAGCTGGGCTGGACCTCACTAGTAGACAGACGTCGCGCCCACAAAGTGCAACTCTATCACAAGATAGCATTAGATGATCGTGTTCCGGACTTCATAAAAGACATCATACCCAAAACGAGAAACCTAGAGATGGAGAGAAATCTGCGATGCACACAGTCCACTCAACGCACCATCCCAGCAGTCCGCTCAGCTTCCTACGCGAGATCTATCATCCCAACAACAACAAGAATCTGGAACGAACTACCCAACGACTTACGAGCCGAACACAGCCAAAAATTCTTCAAAAAGAGGCTGTATGCATATGCCGGTATAAACATGTCACCTAGCTCCTACCTAAGCACAGGTTCCAAAATTGGAAACCGGCTTCACACCCGACTCAGGCTTAATTCATCAGATCTTAAAGACCACAGATTCAAATTAGGGAAAAGTGATTCAGCCAAGTGCAGTTGTGGTGCTGCTACAGAAAACAACGAGCATTTCCTCCTAATCTGTCCACTCTTTCGCACAGAACGAGAAGAATTGTTCGAAAGGTTAACTGAAATTCTCAGTGAGAACTTTCAAAACATTCCTCGGAAAAAGAAAATAGAAACACTGCTAAATGGGCCTTCGCGAGTTATAAAGGTTACCCGCCATGACACCGCCATGGCCGTCCAGAGCTATATACTCAAAACGCGGAGATTTGCCTGCTAGAACTAGGAGCAGCACTTCCATTTCGGAATACAGAGCAATGGCGCGAGTAGGGGCGGGGACAGGCGCTTCGGCCAAGGCAGGGTCGACTTCGCTATGTTAATATTGACATTTTGATTAAGATCAGTAGTGATTAGTAGTGTTCGATTAGAAGTGTTATTGTCTGCTTTCTACGTGTTTCGAGCGGCGTCTCGTTTTAAGCGCCATAGCGCTTCTACGCCAATCGTAATGTTTCGACAAGTGTAAATATGGATGCTCAAATAAATCATCTCTCATCTCATCATCTCATCTCAGCAGCTCGGAGACCAGACAGACCAGCGAGTACACCTCCTCCGAATTACGGAACGATCCCGGGGACACCGGCTGTCGGGTCGGGTGAACGAAAATTTAGTGGCATATCAGCAAAAAAAAAATCTACTCTGAATGTAAATAATGTGAAATATCTTATGTGTAATAAACGAAAGGTAAACAGCTATTTTAGGAATCTCACAACAAATATTTTATTTTATGCAGCAAATCAAATATCTAGGTTTAAACTAAATGTGATGATACGCAGTCACTTGGTCCCACCTGTCCAGTGTCTGTTGTTAGCAGCTTTTTCAGCGTCCCGGCAATGTTCTCTGTGAGGAGCTGCACGGCGATGGGTGGACAGTGGGCGCAAAGGAGGCGGAGCATGCGTGTGACCTCGCAGAAGGTCGAGCTGCCAATCACCGGTGGACTGCCGGCCAGCTGAATCGCGGAGAAGGGGGCGAGCGGGAAGTCAGCAGGGGAAACTGTTTAACTTCAATGACTAGTTTGACGCTTATCTAGGTTAGTAATATAATCAAAACAGGCAACTTATCATTCTTTCAATGTAGAACTACTAACGAGTAACTTTATCAAAGGGCCCATCAGCATGATTATAACAACTTCCGCTTGAACTACTTTTTAATGTTCGCATTTTCTTAAGAAGATGCATCGTTATCGAAGTATTAGGAAAGATAATACGCTCGTCAAACTTGCGCCGGAAGCCTGTATTTCAGAAATAGCTGAGGACTGACCAGCTGTGGGATGTTTTTCACCAGTCCGCTGTCTGCGATTGTCTGCACCCTGATCCGGTCGGCTTTGAACGTTTCAGACAGTCGGCAGAGCACAAGGCAGGCAGCCTCAGCCACCCGGCGGTCCTTGAACGGAGTAAGATGGCGAGTTAATCGGTGGTGCCTTCGAAGGACGAACAGTGGACACATTTTTTAATGAATTGAATAAAATATTCCTTCCTAGTAAAGGCAATCAGATGTTTGAAATTCCAGATTCATTCAGGGGTAAACATCGATATCATCAGCAAGATTACCGCTAGAAATCATTTTGGCTTGATACAGCGGCTAACAAGCCTTTAACTGTTGAAGAAATGTGACTTAATAACTTGATTAAAGTATCGTCATCATAACACATTGCTCAAGGATATTCTGAGAGAATGCGTCTACTGACTACGTTGACTCACCTGATGACAGAGTCGGATGGCTGAGTTGACTCACCTGGTGACGGAGTCGACGACTCATTTGACTCACCTGGTGACAGAGTCGACTGGCTGAGTTGACTCACCTGGTGACAGAGTCGGTTGATTGAATAGGCTGACTCAGATGACTCATCTAGTGACAGAGTCGGCTGGCTGAGTTGACTCACCGGATGACAGAGTCGGCTGACTCAGTTTACCCACCTGGTGACAGAGTCGACTGACTCAGATGACTCACCTGGTGACAGAGTCGACTGGCGATGGCGGACAGGTGCGGACTGATCAGATGGAACTCGCTGCTGGTCAGGGACAGACAGCAGCCGGCCGTCACGGACAGCGCCGCGCGCTGCGCTTCCGCAGAGAAGAAGTCAAAGAAGGCCAGACAGGAGGTGATGCCGCCCTGTGGACAGAGCGTGATACGATATGTCATGCGGTGTACCACATCAGAGACGTCAGTCCTTAAGCAATATCGTCATGAGCTGGCACCAGCCATCTCGGTGCAGCTTTTGATAAATTGCGCTTCGCTTATATGCTACAACTACAGCGAATTTCGGCATATCAAGCGCCGTGTATTAGACTGCACCGCAATGCATCCGAGCGCCTCGATATACATAGACTGTGCCGCAATACAGCTTAAACGCCGTGTATTAGACTGTGCTGCAGTGCAGCCGAGGGCCGTGAGGTAGATTACGCTGCAGTACAGCCGAGCACCATAAGTTAGACTGTGCTGCAGTACAGCCGAGCGCCGGGAGATAGACTGTGCCGCAATACAGCTAAACACCGTGAGATAGACTGAGCCGCAGTACAGCCGAACGCTGGGAGATAGACTGCGCCGCAATACAGCTAAACACCGTAAGATAGACTGTGCCGCAGTACAGTCGAACGCTGGGAGATAGACTGTGCCGCAGTACAGCCGAGCGCCGTGAGATAGACTGTGCCGCAATACAGCCGAGCGCCGGGAGATAGACTGTGCCGCAGTACAGCCGAGAGCCGTGAGACAGACTGTGCCGCAGTACAGCTAAACACCGTGAGATAGACTGTGCCGCAGTAAGCGCCGTGAGATAGACTGTGCCGGAGTACAGCCGAGCCTCTCTCCCTCTCCCTCTCTCCCTCTCTCCCTCTCTCCCTCTCTCCCTCTCCTTCTCCCTCTTTTCCTCCCTTTCCTTCTTCCTCCCTCTCCCTCTACCCATCCCTTTCTCCTTCCCTTCTCCTCTTCCTCTCCCTCTCCCTCCCTCCCTCCATTTGTTTACCGCCTGCAGGACAGCGTTGCCGTGTCTCTTTGTGAGCAGCTCCAGTGCAGCCAGCGCCTGTTCCGCCACCTCCATTGAGGAGATGGCTCGGAGCTGCTGCAGCAGCGCCGGCAGAGCTGCCACAGCTGCCGCCGAGCTGTGCGGCACCAGCTCCAGCAGGTGGGTCAGCGTGCGACACGCCTGTGTGACCTGACGACGGGATAAGTGAAACATTATATTTCAGATATTGTGAGACGTATATATAGGATTATTACCGTGATCATTGATTGAGGAAGTGCATGTTTTCTGAGGTGATTTCCTTTAGGTCATAGATACCAGTCTACCTAGATAAGGGTAAACATCAAATATTTTTTTAATGTTAGAAATGTTTTTTTAGGATAGCAAAGTAATGCCACTATGATTAATATTTAAGGTCATTAATTGATGCACAAAGTAGATAAAGCCTCTTCCAGCTGAGAATGTATCTTCAGCTCGATTATAAACGTCGCTTGTGTCAAACTCTATCTGATGGTCCGTACCAGGTCGTCGCCACGGTCTGCCTGTATCAGTCTGGTGATGGGCGGCACGAACTTGCCGGCCGGGAAGGCGCCCAGCGTGTCCTCAGAGGCCATCACCAGGAGCTGACCGAGCTCGACGACCGCCTGCAGCTGCAGCGACTCGTCCTCCGAGCACTGCAGCATCTGCAGCAGCTGGTACATCCTGCAGCCTGCAGCCGGGCCCAGCGCACAGCGGTTAGTACGGTCAGTGCAGCAGGAGGTAAGGGTAAAATGGAAAGCATTTTTAGCGATCGACGGTCTTTGCTAATGCTCAAATGAATTGTTTTACCAAATGACTTTTTATACGTTCACAGAACGTATGGTAGATGGAATCCCACCAAGCTATGAATAGACCGTTTTCGTAAGTATTACATTAGTCAACCTCACACAAATCCGCTCAAAGTAACGGTTCCTTTTCTGAATGACACAGCACAATCGCTCCCTAAAAGCCCTGATGACACATATCTCCCTCCGTGGGCGGGCAGCTCACCTCCTTCTGCGTGGCTGCGGTGCCGGCTGGGACTGGCGGGCGGCGCCAGCTGTTCCAGCAGGTGTTGCGGTACGCCGCGCGCCTGCAGCAGCTCGCGCAGGTGCACCAGCTCGCCCTGCGGCTCGTCGCCGGTCGAGCCGGAGCTGTTGCGACTGCTGGAGCTGGAGCCGGTGGACGGCCAGTCGGGCTTGTCCGAACCGCCCCGGGAGCCGCGGCGACTGCTGAGGAGGAAGGGAGAGAGTTCAAATTATGAGGATAGAGAGAGGAGGGTAGATCCCAAAAACAACGACAGATAGCATCTGATAAAGCAAAAAAGTAACTAAACAGGGCTTGTCATAGTAAGCATCGGCAGATTCGGTACACTTTGAGCCTTAATGGTTACCACATTTGTGAAGGGACATTTGGACTGGCACGTTTTAATGGTTCAACAAAGACGCGGGCTATCGGGAAAATATAAAAAGACAAGCTCCTTCTGCCGCAATCTAAGCCACGCAGACTGTGGCCAAGTAGAAGTGGGGTCAAGGCACGACAGGCCGATTAACTTCTTTGTTTGGCGAAAGGCACAGATGATTGGGTATTGGAGCACTCGGCACTGGAACACCCGGTGGTCATGCGAGCAAAAACCATCCTGCAGGCCGTCAAGCAAACATACAAAAAGTATCGACTGATCACACTGACTCAGGCGTCAACCGGGCTCAAATGAGCAAAAAATGATATAAGGGCTATATCTATGTATCACGAATGTTCGTGCAGCACTGAATCCCTATAATAGATACTTTGGTATCTTTATGGCAACTTCTCTCGTCTCTTCCGTTATCATTTGTTGAAAGCATATATGCAATGTCAAGGTTTATAAAGGCATTCAAAATTGTAACACAGGCTAGGAAAGCTAATTGCTATCCAAGATCACGCGAAAGATACGCTCTTCCATTAGTGACGTGCAAACAAACAGCTTCGGAATAAAGGAGCAGGCGACATCGTCCCTCAACTCGTGAGTACAAAGGACATATATCCGTGGAGCGCGGTACCTCTTGATCGCTGACCAGCCTCGATAAATTATTAGATTTACTTAAATCTGTCAGTGTCACAAGAGCAGCCTTGGCCAAAAATACATTCCTGATTATCAGCCACATTACGAGTTCTCGTATATCAGCCGTTTACCGTACTCTTCATTTCACCAAATAAGTCCGATTGACTTCAGGCACTTGAAGATATCACACCTGAACAACCATCATCAAATAACGTCAACACATCATTGAGAATATGTTTTGAATCACCTGTGACGTTCCGACACCCGCACTCCGAGCTCAGTCGCCTCAGCCCCGCTGCCGTCACTCACCAGCCGCGGCAGCAGCAGGCGCAGCAGCACTGCTGGCACGCCGGTCCCTGACGCTCCATCGACGAGCGCGACCGTCCCACCCCGACCGGCTCCCGGCCACCACTGAGCGCGCTCGACGGAACCACGCTTATCCTGGGCTCCGTCGGAGTCGACGCGACAAAGGCCGCCGGCGGGGTCAGGCCAGGTCACACGCGCACCCAGCGGTTCACAATCGATGGAGGACGCGGCACGGCCTCCAGCCGCCGCGCAGAATGAAACGCGCTGAGTGCGGCCGAGCGACAGAGCGCCACGTGGGCCACGCGCGCATGGGAGACAGAGGCAAGAGGGAGAAGAAGGGTAGACGAGACGGAGACGAGGAGGACACGAGACGGAGACGAAGGAGAGACAAGACGGAGACGAAGGGGAGACTACGCGGAGATGGAGGAGAGAAGAGAACGAGGTGGAACCGGGCATGGAAGAGTGGAAGAATGGAGACGGGAAGGGAATATAGACGACTGACGAGGAAGAGAAGATATACGAGCGAGGTGCGTGAACGAGGCGGCATGATATAAGGGAGACGAGACGTTTATGGGAAAGAGACAAGCAGGAAAGAAGCTGAGACGGATACGGCGAGTGACGAGACGGAGACTTGGCGGAAACGGAAGGACAACAGACGAAAACCGAACCGGACGCGGAACGAGAATGCAATTGGGACGAAGACAACACTGGAATGGGAGACAAATGGTGCACAGAAGACACGCAGGCGAAGTCTGGTGGGGACAGAGACGGGCAGCGTGGAAGGCGCGGAGACGTGTAGCATAGACGGGACACAGCTCGTTGAGATGACGATAAAAACACAAACGGAGCCGGACAAACGGAGCCGAGAAACCATTCCGCCGGGCACGGGGAGGTTTTTAGAGCACTTAGACGTGGGAACCGGGAAATTAGGTAACTGCCCTCTGCTTCTTCACTACACCCCGCTCGTCTCTTTCCAGTTCCCAGCCTTTCTTCGTTTTATCTTGAGGGTGGATAACATCAACTGTAGAAATTGTCTGAGTCATTGAGTTGAAGTTGGCTGACTTGTAAGTTTTAGTGTCATTGTCAATGGCTCTCAGTTGACTCCAAATAAATACTAGCATTGGTTAAATATAAGAGTTAATTATTCTCAATGCTCACAAAACTTATGTTTTACTCTGTACTCCGAACTAAAACTGCCAAATCTGTTTAATCTGCTCTTATCACTGCAAGCATGTGTGCATAGCACGTTCCTGAAAGGTCAAAATGCCAGTTGTGTCGGTCAGGTCAACAGAACAATAACAGGCTGAGCCCAAAAGAGACCGTCGACTTTCCAGACCGCTCGCAGCCGGCACGTGGCGCTGAACGTCCGTCTGTTGCCAGCCGAGAGGAAGGTGCCGAGAGTGAGAGGGCGCCGACGGCCGGGGAGTGACGGGTGTGAGGGTGCGCCGACGATCAACCGTCGCCGAAGCACCATCGCATCAACGAAGGAATCTCGACGAAAATGCGTCGGCCACTTCTTCCCCATCTGGGTGGTCAGATAGCATGTGTTGTGATTTTTATGGCTCAGATGTGTTGCGTGTAAAATGCAAATTGGATCGCTTAGATAGGCAATGACTTGTATATATGTAGACCACTGTTCATTTTCTCCTTCGTATCGGTCGAGAGTTAAAGCAATTGAAAGACAATGTGTCATATTTACAGCTTGAGCATCACTTTTAATGCATAATTTTTCACTTTTCCAAACGCTTAATCCAAATGAAACTCCTGTGAAGTGCGCCATCTGTTTGTCATTATTTTCTTTGGTCACGCCAAACTCAAGGTTCGGTCGCGCCCTCGCAATAAATCAGACAAAGCCCACAAGGCCGTGTCGTCAGCGCTGCATCGGTTTCGGAGCGGAGGTCCTATCCCAGGTCTTTGTGTCTTTGTCGGCGTGTGTGTATGTGAGAGATGGTGCGCGGGGCCGAACAGGAGCGAGGATCGATACCTGGACTCGGCCAGACTCAGAGACGCGTGCCAACCGCGGAGGATAGCTGGATTGGGCCGGAAGCCACCAGTGCTGGAGATAAGGGAGAGCCTGAGATAAAGATATTTATCTAAATAGCAGTTGCCAGTGCTGATAACTCACATATCACCATGAATCATAGACGTGTTAGCTGTGTCCTTGTGCTAGGCACCAAATATCCAACTATTCCTTACGCTCAGCTAAACTAATTAATTTCAGTCCACCGGGAGCGATTATAGCGCTCTGGTATCGTTCGAAATCGAGCCTGGAATTGGCGGCTGCTGTGTGAGGACGGTTGGGCAGCCTTGGTCGGACGGTACAGGCGTGTGGGTAGGTATATGAGGCTGAACAGCAGACTGCCGGCCCCCAGTGGAGCCCCGCCGACCTTCGGATGGCCTTCCGTCGCGCTCCGGCATCAATCGTCTCTCCAAGCAGAGAGCAAATCACCCGGTGGATGTGTACCATAGATATTGTAATCATTCAAGCGTGTGATAATAAGGCCAAAGGGATGTTGCAATTTCAATGTCGGCAATTTCGGCAATTTCGCCGGTCCCTTCATTTCTGAGTCGGACTGAATCGGCAATTCAAGCTATATGCATACAACTTCCATCTTGACTTACAACAACTTACGACTTGACTTCCGATTAAAGCAATTTTGAGCTATAGTTTAGAAAACACAAACCTCAAGCCTTTCTAGACCGAGCAAACGAATTATTAGCTGACGTCAAGGAAACGGTCGATGAAAGCCGTTGTGAAACTTTGTGAAATTTACCAAACCATTTTTGTTTTAGAATAGTTCATGGAAGGGCACTGAAGTTCATTTAAAGACATGATGTGGAGATGAATTGTGAATTAAAATGAAATCGGACTTACTCCACAAGAGTTCGTTGGGTCGGAGCTTTCGAATTGTATTACAATTCTTCGTCAGCGAGAGTCGTATCGGATGTTAAGATCGAATCGAAGGTACAGTGCGGATCGAACAAAAAACTGTCCGACCCATATTTTGTTCGATCCGCACTGTACCTTCGATTCGATCTTAACATCCGATACGACTCTCGCTGACGAAGAATTGTAATACAATTCGAAAGCTCCGACCCAACGAACTCTTGTGGAGTAAGTCCGATTTCATTTTAATTCGGCACTGAAGTTTTTAAAACGATACGTTTATAAAGTTGCAACTCTTTTATTAGGCATACATACCAAAGTTGGGATTATTGGAGAATAGAATGTATACGTCAGAAAGTGATTTCTGATTTTAAAACGTTGATTTTCAATTCAATTCACTGAAGTTTTTAAAACGATACGTTTATAAAGTTGCAACTCTTTTATTAGGCATACATACCAAAGTTGGGATTATTGGAGAATAGAATGTATACGTCAGAAAGTGATTTCTGATTTTAAAACGTTGATTTTCAATTCAAATGAAGCATGCACCACCCGACAACCAAACTGTCTGTGAAGGCGGACACATCGGCTGACCAATCAAAGCATCAAACTGAGAAAGGTCACAGTCGGTCGGCGAAGTGAAACAGCCATGAGCCACCTGGAAGTAGGTAGGCATACTACCCGTGAATGCCTGCTTACTTATCTCACATGGGATGCCTACTTACCTTCTTGAAAACAGGAAGCTGAAGAAAAACATGTCGTCTCTATGCCGTCTCTCGCAGTCGCTTGCGCTTGCTTCCTTCCTTCGTTACTCGAATCCCGATAAAACGTCGAGATCCAGCAAAAGTGCAGGCAAATTCACCTATAAGGTTGACACCGTGTATGCCCACTTTCAATGTTGATATAGCGTTTATGCTAGGACAAGACGATCTCAGTGACGTGAAAAGTCTCCACAGTCGGTACACTGTTTGACAGCACTTCCACTAACCGCGAACGGCACGTTATCCACAGTTGAGTGGCGCCGTCTGCTAGTTTTTGCAGTAGCCGTGCCACGGGCAGAGGAGCCGGTTTGTGTCCGATACGACCCTGAGTCGACTCTTCTCCACCGAATATCAGATCTCAGGCGAATAACACACCCGTGAACTTCGGCGGGAAACGTTCAAACGTCACTTCTTAGCACACAATAAACTGGCCAGCTTTGGCACTCGGTATCGGTAGGTAGGTTTAACAAACTCTGTCCCACTCTCAGACCGGAATACTTCTCAGAGGTGCGATGAGCTTCTCCTCGACGTCCCGCGTTGAGCAGCTTCTCTGGGTCCGGTGGTCTCTTGACTCCCTGAGAAGCTCCCAAAACGCAGTGAACGACTGCTCTGGACGCGGCGGCGTTTCTCGGCCGGCACTGTGAGCACTGAGCACTGAGCACTGAGCAGCTGCCTCACTCGGAGCACCGGAGTGTCGACGAGCCGGTGAGCAGATCTCTCCCGGTGAGCAAGCAGGTATATCCCGTGTCGGTGAGCCTCTCTCACGTTCCGGTGAGCAGGTCTCTCCCGGTGAGCAGGTCTCTCCCAGTGAGCAGTTCTCTCACGTGGCGATGAACTCTCTCCCGTGCTGGGTGAGCCTCTCTCACGTTCCGGTGAGCAGGTCTCTCCCGGTGAGCAGGTCCCTCCCGTGCCGCTGGACCTCTCTCTCTCCCGGTCCGGTGAGCGCCGCCGCACTGTCCGCTCTGTCTCCTGGCCGGGTGTGGCGGCTCTCCAGACCGTCAAACGTCACAGAGCGGCGCCGAGGAAGTCAGCCCTTACACCTGACGCCTTGAGCCGACCGGGCCGACCGGAACGGGACGAACGGACGGACCGGACGGGCCGGTGGCCACCGTTCCGCGGCCGGAGGACACGGCAACTGACCTCCTCTCCCTCTCCATCCTCTCTCTCTCTCCCCTCTCTCTCTCTCATCTATCTCTCTCATCCTCTCTCATCTCTCTCTCTCTCTCTCTCTCCTCCTCTCTCTCTGATCACTCTCTCTCTCTCGCTCTCTCCTCTCTCTCTCCTCGTCTCTCTCCTCTTCTCTCTCTCTCTCACTCTCTCTCTCTCTCTCTCTCTCTCTCTCTCTCTCTCTCTCTCTCTCTCTCTCTCTCTCTCCTCTTTCCATTTAGTGCTAAAACTTATTTCGCGTTTGTTATGAAAGATCACATCGCTGTCACACAATAAA